CTGGGGAGTATTTTCAGACATTTTGAAAGAAAAGTGCAGTCATGTATGCAACCTGAACCTTAATCTTGTCATTTTTGGTGTGAAGGATTTTCCAACAATGATTTGTTATTGTTGTTAGCAAAGTTTTATATTTGTAAATTCAAACTTTCCAACAATGTTTTAAGTTTGATCCAGTTGTTAGCAAAGTTTTATATTTGTAAATTCAAACTTTCCAACAATGTTTTAAGTTTGATCCAGTTGTTAGCAAAGTTTTATATTTGTAAATTCAAACTTTCCAACAATGTTTTAAGTTTGATCCATTTTAAGAGTTTTACAGGCTAGGTATTATGTTGAGAAGAACAGGTATTATGCTAAAAGTGAAATAGGGAAATTTCATCAAAAATGGATGCTTTATCATGTACTTTTTGAAGAATGAATTATTGATTTTCCAGTAGTCTTTTCATATTTTCCCCTTCGTACCTCAATGCATTGTCTGTTTTACTTTTAATGTCTCATCATATGTACATAGAATGTGAATGTGTGAGCGAATGTGATGTTCATCTCTCATGTTATTGGGGAAAAAACCTCAGAAATTCTCTTCTTAATTCTGTAATGCAATGGGGTTCCTGCTACAATGGACAGGAGTATCTATATGTAACAGGGTTTTCTGTAATATAAAGAAGAAAAACAAAATATTAAAAAAAGATTTCTTAAACAATCACCATCAGTGCCACATAGCACAGAAGTTGGGTGTGTGGTTATAATCAGAGTAAAATATATTACAGTTACCATTTAGTACGCAGAATTAGGTTTTTAAAGCATATACTCTGTGTGTGTGTGTGTGTGTGTGTCCGTCCGTCCGTCCGTTCGTCCATCTGGCCTGAAGCGGTAATGTCCTCTTTGCTTAGCCAAATCGTCTCCAAAGAGTTTAGTACTTATTCTTGTTGACCTTGAACACAGCTTTTTGTAAGGTCCTTGCAAATCAGAGCGGAAAATTTCTTTCCTCTTTGCATTAATATCAGATTGCACAGCCACTTGGAGTCTAAATTTAAGAGTCTTTCGTATTAACGCTCGTCTTATTTACCACTGCTGTCAACAAGGAGTCAAGCATGGTGACAACTGGGTTAATTGCCTTGACCAGTAGCCCTTGAGTATGCTGTAATTTGCAGTTTTTTAAAGCCTATAAATGATATGTACACAAAACATTTATAGTGGGTGTGCTTGATTGATGTTGATATATTAAACAAACCAAACTGTCATTTCACTCAATGTGTTAATACTGATGCAGAGCTCGAGATAAGATTTAGCTCATGTGAGTACTGTACCCACTGTATTTTTTGGGAGTGGGTTTTATGAATGTTGAGTGGGTATTCATTTTCTGTTACCCACAATTTTCAAATAGGTGCGTATTTCAGTCATTTTACTCACCTAAGTATTATGTCATTGAGTAAGTTTACTAAGCAGGTATGTTCTGCATTATGTCATACCAACTTAAATATAATGGAAATGATTTCATAAAAAATCACTCATCCTATACTAACAGTACAACTTGATAGTAATCGATGTCTTTTTCATTACGCAAGCGATTTTCATAGATATATTCCGTATGCATTTGTTTTAAACTTCTTGCGTATCTAACATTATAAATGCGTAATTGTTTTTTCAATGCGTAATTGGAAATTTTCTATGCATATTTTACCCGGATACACAGCTTATCTGGGCCTCTGTGATGTATGCTTGTATTTGTGTCAATAAACTATTACAACATTACTCTCATTTGTTTGTGGCAGCTTGAGAAGTGTCAAAACCACATGCCGTTTCCATGGTTACTGGGTTTTTTGTGAGATACAAAACATTCAATTTTGTGTGGTCTTTAATCATGTCATGCAAGGTACTCCGGACTAAATGTCAAATGAAACCCAGCGTTAAACCTGAAGAGATCTTCATGACTGCCATGTGAACTAAATACCCATTCAAGTTCACATGGTCTTTACTCATGCCATCAAAGTCGAAGCAGAACATGATGCCAGGTTCATCGTCGTCATACGAAGGACACTATGACAAACAACGCTGAAGGTTTATTGTTTATTTCATGACTTGGTTTGTGCAGCAGCCCAGCTTGGCGTCGGACCACTCTCCATTCCGGGAGTGATGACCACAAACTGTTAACAACGTAGGTTTATGTATACATAGTGGACAGTACGAAATATCACCAGCTGGCACACCACCAACCCACCGACCAGCCAACCAATGGCCGACCGGTCAGTTGACGAAGGCCAGAACACGAGTAGGTCATACAATACACAGAACACGAGTGAGACAGAGTTGCAATAAGAAATTTTGTCTAGACAGAATGGTCAAGACAACAGATACACAAACATATTGTTCACCTTTCTTTGTGGTCAGCACAGTTCATTTCTGAACTTCAGTAAATGAAGGATAACAAGATATGGAAGAAGCAGACGCAAAGTCTCTGCACAAATTGACAACAGGCTCATTTACTGGCAGTTTCCAACTCTTTACATCCAAAACTTACCTTATGAATATTTTAAATACATCTGAATTATATTTTGTTTCAATTGTGGATACAATATATCCAAAGAAAGTTCTTCGATCTTACAATGAATTTAAAATTCTGCCAACTATATCACCAGAATTTCTTATTGGTCTTCAGCTTCAAGCCTACATGCAACTTGTGCAATGACTTTGCTCTCATAGGAATCTTTAAACAGTGATTTGTGCAGAAATTACCAAGTTCAGAGCACAAAAACCATTGTTTTTCTGTTCAGAATTTTAAAGTTTTGTATTAAAACATTATATTACAACTTTCAATGAAAACAGAGCTGTACAAATGGAACATGAGAATATCTCTACACATCATCTGAGAAAAACACCACCCTTGATAGGATGAGATGTCAGATGCATCGCACATCCTTCACTGACTACACCATTGTTCACTACATCTGCATCTGGCACAACCACATCTGCAGCTGACATCCCCTACACACTGTAGACCAACAGATGCATCTGACAGCTCATGGTTTGGAATGAAAGACTACATTTCACTGACGTCAAAATTAGTATATTTGGACAGCAAACAACCCACTGAGGTTGTGTTTTTTTACATCTTTAGGTCCACATTCTCTTCAGATAACAGCTTGTAATCGTAATTGTGAAATAAATTTATTGGGTCTGCACTGGATCATCAAATTGATGCTTTTACTTTAACATTTCTCTTTAACAATACAAATTGTAATAAAAATTGTGTATATATTCCTCAGTGTAGTGTTTACTGTCTAAACAACAGCTTCACATCAGTGACACAATCAGAACACCTACAGCACTATTTATGTTCAGCTGAAGATTGTCAACTAACATGGTGGTTCTAATAAGATTCATGTGATTAAACAATGACACAAATTGCCAAACCTTAAGAAATATAAACATGATCATTTACTGCTCTAGTGAAAGATCGGATGTAGAACGATACGATGACAAGCCCCATACTGTCAGATGAAGATCCACAATGTATGTAACTCAAATATACCATCCATTCCAAAACACCCCTTGACCATCAGTGACTTTGGCACACGTCAGTCTAAAAGATATCTTGTAAATAAAATATAAAAATCTTAAAACAAAAAGTAAGAAACAACGACAGATATGGTTGGTCCTAGGAACTGCAATGGAAAGAAGCCAGGATGGAGATTCAAGGAAACCGAATCCAACAAAACAGATGGTTTTGTAACAACAACATTTCGGAAAATGTCAAGATGGGACATGAAATGTATTTTCCAAAAGTCATGAAACTAGCTAGATAGAAATCAGCTTGAAAGGGATCAAAAATAGATAAATGTTCCCGTCTTCATTCCACTTCTAACAACATACGTGTATCAAACTGTACATAGCAAATCATCTTAAAATACTTTCTGTTACATGAACAATGAGTAGAGAGGATGAAGAGATGTGATCTACAAATGGATTATTGAACCACCGTATAACAGTGGAGATCACACCAAAGTTGGAGGAGATGAAGATCTGGTATCCATGACAACCTGAAGTCAGACTGAATATATTGCAGAATAGCCAATAACAGAAAGATCGTCAGTCCTACTACCTTGTATTTCTTGAAGGCTTTCTATGAATGTCAGTGTGAAGAAGCTAGGTTTTCTTGGTGGACTGAAAAGCTGCCCAGTAGTTAAGACAAAGTTGAAACATAACCCATGCTGAGCCGTGTACTAAGTGTCAATCTCTTAAATATGTTTCTTCTTTATAATGCTGACAATATGGCTCTGAACAGCAATGTCAACCAATCTGGAACTTGGTCATACCACGGTCCTTCTATCAAGCCTACAAGCATGAACTTGGTGAGTTTGGAGATCTGTAGTGCCCAAAATATTTGCCCAGCAAACAAAGGCATCCTGTGAATGAGTAAAAGGGCATTAATGATTTATATCTATTTTTTTGTTACGAATTTATCACAATATAAATAAATCACAATAACATAACATGTCAATGCCAACATGAGATCCCAGAAACTAGTTGAAGCCTGAAGATCAGCACCTAAGACATAAATTGTGGACTGTTGCAACTATGAGATAACCTGTGGACCATAACAACTATGAAATAACCTCTGTATCTCAGTAACTATCAACTGTGTTTCCTGTAAGTAAATAACTTGTATAATAAACCTGTGGACCCTAACAACGCTGAAATAACCTGTGGACCCTAGCAACGCTGAAATAACCTATGTATCCTAGCAACTAGGAGAAAAAACCTATGGACCCCAATTACTAGCAGACAACCCATGGAAACAAGTAGCAATATACTAAATGGTGTTGAGAAAGAGATTACTCCTTTCAACTTTCCAAATAAAATCCAAACTCATCACCGAATATCTTAGTGCAATAATTACACAAAATTTCCTCATCATTCCAACCAGACAAATAACTCACCACAATTAACATCAGTTGTGAGTTTGATTATTACCTGAACGAAAATAACAGGTTGTTTTGAACAAACACTCTTTGTAGCACTGACTGTCGGTAAACTGTGATTTACTTACCCAGAGGGACCTGTCATTATCTGGGAGAGAGGCGCTAAAACAGGGCTGAGGAGGGGTAGGGCAGAGGCAGAGGCGGGGGGCAGAGGCTGGGCGGGGGGGTAGGGAAGAGCGAGGCTGGAGCAGAGTGGAGGGAAAGAAAAGAAGTTGAAAGGATCATGATAAAAAATATACAATCTTCATAGGTTCATGCAAGAAAAAGGTATTGGAATGGTTACAAAATGAAACGAAATTTTATGTTTATGTGTAAAGAATACTTCAAACACAATTTTCATGATCGCCTTTGGCAGCTGAGTTCCTGGGTAGGTCATCAGAATTTACAAGCAGGTGGGATGCAAACGGAAACAAGGTAAGGCAATTTTTTGTAATGCTCAAGAATAAACCACCACAACCTATAACAAATGACAGCTCCCTCCCAGCATTCAATAGCAGTCATTAATCAGTAGACGATAATGAGAATGACACATGGAGGTGATCATCTCTATCCTAACAACAAGCTCCTTCACACACTTCTAGGATGATGGACATCAACTGTAGCAGCACATGATGACCGACACTACATATGTGGAGGATGAACACCAACAAGCACTGACCCGTATAGTAGATTGTCTCCCTTGGTAGAGGCAGGCAGACGTGGAGACGTATCATACTCATCGTGTTTGAAGATATGTTTCATGATCAGGGAAAACATCCTGGAACTATAAGATCTACTATCTACAGCCAGCCACTGTGGCAATATTATACAAAGCAGAATAGATAGCCATTGCACTAGGGTTTGAATATAAAATATTCTCTATAAACATTAAACTAAGAAACTGATTTGCTAGGTCTGATTTTCACCTTTCAAGTACAGAATCAACAAATAATACTGTTCTACTGATCACACACCACAAATCAAGGTCACTGTTAGATCTCACACAAATGACAACACAAAGCCTCACTTTTGTCCTCTAGCATTTAAATGGCCCTATTTGTACACATGTATTGAAAATTAATGAAATAACAAACCAAATGTTAAGTCAGTTAAGAAGTAATTCAGCTGAAACGGATTAAGGATGAATGATCGAGTATGCGAGTTGGCTGTAACACTGCGGAGAAGAATATTCAAGCCACAGCGCACCAACCCACTTTGGATGGAAACGTTAAGTGACGTTTGTCGTAACATAGCAACTACATCGGCATCTCCATGGGTTCAGTGGTGGCTGGAACAAATGATCAGGATTAAACCACAACCATGATCCTGCAGCCAAGGGAGGTATCTCTGTACAGCGTAATCTTCTATACCACTAAGAAAACCACCTCTACTGAACAACTCATGCTTGTCGTTCTAGAGGTTGAAAGGTCCTTATTGGAATGTGGTAAAACGAAGTGCTAAAAATATCCCACTGTACATATCGCAAAGAACGTAACATCTCGACAGATGTTATGACATGATTTCTGTCAACACAGCTTCTAAATAGGTATAAATATAAGTTATATAAGAGCAGCAGGATTTGGATTATGTAGAATGTATGCCTTTTTTAATGAGAATAATGTCTAGTAAATTATGCATGAGAACAACATGCATACAAGAATAAAAATCAAAATGCATAAAAACAATTTGGAACATTAAAGATCTCTTACAAACTGTTCCCACTGAATGACAATAATTAACAAAAAAGTTATGTTTTCATTATTATGTCTTATGATAGTTCAATTAAACATGAATGTTGTCTGGATATCACACCATTGCAAATACTCCAGCAAACCTTCTCAAAATATTTGTGTATTATGAAATTGTTTGAGAATAATTTGGTCGGAGTAAATTATATTTCTTGTTGTACAGACCTGTCTGGTCAACATACCAACAGGAACTGACAACTGTATGAGGAAACATGGGTTGTTTGGTTTATTACATATTTTTCTAAAGAATACCTATAAAATAATTTTAAAGAAATACAACCATGATTATATAAAATATATTTTCAAACAAACGTAAATGAACATTTTGAAAATTAATCATAGACTCATCCGTATAAAAAGAAAAAAAGAATATCTTTAGAAATCACGAATACCATATTCACCAAAATAAGCACCATGCCCTGGTCCACTCCAATTTGTCAGTAAGTTTAAAAAGTACTTCCTATTAACGCCAAACATATACTTGACCATATTATTGAGTATATTACATATATTTCTACAGAAAACAATAGGGTAGAAGGGGTATACAATTGACTGGGAATTATACAAAAATTGTTAGCTTCATTGATGTTTGAAAAGTTTAACATTTATGGTATTGAAACACACCTTTGTCAGTTTTGCTTAGCAGCATGGCGATTATTAGGGAGAATATGGCATTAAATTACTAGTTGCTACTGATGTACTTATTTGTCTTTCTGTCCACAAGTATTAGTGTTGCAAATCCACGAAATATAAAACCTAAATGCAATGATTTGACCAGTACAGAACCAGGCGAGTCACCACAATGGTAAGCAGATCTTGTTCCCTGGAGAACAGGATGACTAATTGAGATTTCACTGCATACTAAATGTGCAGTTTGTTTAATCAGCACTTAATCAATGAGACATTATGCATTCAGATCATTAACAGGAGTAACAAATCCATAACAGGTAACAGCAAAAAATCTTCCAAATGTTTTCAGGAATGAAGAAACAAGCCAGGTTAAGTTTACAATTAATATCAAACAGAAGATACGTGAAAAGTGCCTTCAGATCTCTCCTTTGATTAACTGTACCTGGTGTCCAATCAGTTTCAAGATTCATTCATCAATTCAAACCCGTTCTAAAATATATTGGGGGTTAAAAGTACCAAAAGAAACATTCTTATTGACATTCTTTGGACTTCCAGGATACTTCCAGAAAGTAATATTTTCAAAGCTTAAAGGAAAGCAGTTGTAGACATCTGTGTGGAGTGGAATACAATTCAATTAGAAATGAGTTCATTGTTGTTTGTCTTCTTCCAAAACCTTTTGAGATTCATCTCATGTTTAAATATACAACTCAACCATTGATAGGGATAATCAGATACGGCATTCTCTTTAAATATACACTTGACATACTATGAGAATCAGTTTGGTGTATCCTGGAAAGATATGCTTACAGCTGTGACTATTTCTTACATTAACAGCACGGTACAGTTGGAGAATGAATTCACTGCTGGACATACCAAATGATACTCTGTGTGGTATATACTGATCTTATCCCATTCCTGGCTATGTGATACAGCAATAACAACAGACAAATCCCTGGTGACCCTGCAAACACTGGACACTGCACAGAGCGCTGTCAGTACTTCAAAGGTCTTGTATGAAGTGTTCCTCCATCAACCAAAACATCAGCCAATCAGGGACGACATAGCGGTATGTGTATATGCTGAGTCAACTAATGAAATGAGGCTAGGTAGAACTCAAGGTGAAACAGCCCTCCCTGTGCATTAGCCTGTGCAAACAGGATTTTTGCGTGATATTGAAGCAGACGTGAATACTTAATGTAATATTGCTTCTTGTGTGATAAAATCTCAAGTGTTCATTGTGCCAAGGATTCACTCGTTTCCTTGGGCTTTGGAGACCATGGCCCGGTTTCACGAAGCTCTCGTAAGCCTAAGTTCTCGTAACTTTTCTCGTAGCGTCGTACCTCCTATGTTACAGTATAGGAGGTACGAATGCTACGAGGAAAGTTTCGAGAACTTAGGCTTACGAGAGCTTTGTGAAACGGGCCCCATGCTAGCTATTCTTGAAACATTCATAGCCCTACGAACTTCTTAAGCCCATTCTTAACACATTGGCTACGGTCAAAGTTAAGAATTCTTAGGGCTACGAATGTTTCGCGAATAAGGGCCCATATGTTGATTCTGATGTAAAACCAACAATTACACCATTAACAGGCTAAACGTTTGAGTGTTGGAGAAACACAGTGTATACAAGACCTATGGAGAACGGACATTGAGATATTTGTGTTTTCACTGCTACCCATGAAGATGTCAGAGTGCTTTAACCTCACCTTTACCTTGTTTTTTGGTTTGAGCAGAATGACATCTCGTAATGTTTTCTGCCTAGCATGTTTCCTAGAGAGAGTGTGTAGTATTGGGGATAGCTACCAACACAATGTCTGTGGTCAAGTCACAGCGGCTAGATTAAGGTCACCAATAGAAACATCTTTGAAAAACAGGATAAACATCTTAAATAAAAACTCAACAAAAAACAGGAAAAAAGGAATTTCAGATTGCTCCAAGACTAGAAATAAAGTAATTATAGTTGTAACAAAACATTTGATAATCAACATTCATAATATGACTGAGTTGTACAAAGCCACATGGATATTAACATAGCAATATTGCATAAATATGAAATATATACAAACACTTTAGGACAGAAGGTTACACGAACTGATCTAGATGAGACATGCTTTTCTCCCCTGTTCGACTGAGAGTAAAGGAGGGAGGGTGGTCGGTAAAATGGATGCCATATGCTAGAAACTAGGAAGATGTTGACTGGGAACAGGATGAGGACTCGTATTACTCCATGTACACGATTATCTCCCCTTAGCTCGGACAGGATGGGTGGACGATCATGTTAATCAATAACAGCCTGACTCAAGAAGGCGGACATGTCCAAGCCTTTTCCCCTGAACAAAGTGACACTGTGTAGTCTGGTGGCCATACAGCATGGGCCGGTCAATACATTTTATATGATCACATTATGCATGACATTAATCTGTCCTTTAGGTGCAGCAATGATACTTTTCCCTTATTCCAATGCTTTGGGAGACAAGCTTTTGTGTTTAGCTTAAGACAAATCACTAGATGTTTTATACAGATAATTACAATATTGGAAGATTTGGATGTTTCATTGAAAAACTTCATGAATTTTAGCAAACCTGACCTGAATTCTGATTCTTGTCAGTTTAAAACGTCTGATCAAAATATTTTGAGAAGTACCTCTCGTATTGCACTGCATTCTGGGGAAAGAGTCAACAAGTCAACAACTTTATCATTCTTACACAGGCACACAGGACCACACAGTGCCTAAACGTGGCTAATACTGCCAGCACGTTCTCACCACTATAGCCCACTCCCTCGGACCTAAGTGGTCAGTCAGGAGACACCCGTTCACAGATAGTTCATAGTACCAACATCACTGCATCAACAAGCCTTTCATCAACACTTTTATCTCACGGCCTCCTGTGATTATGTCGACTGCTTCCACTGGTACATCCTTTCAAGTATTTATTTGACATTTCCTTGCTCTGGGGAGGGCGACTGTGCCGTCAACAATGACCTGGTGTCAGTGTTTTGGACATATTTCCTTTGACTATGGCCAAGGAGAGGTTTAGATTCTTTCCACATTCCAGATCAACAGTACAATAATTGTTTGTCAACATCCCCTTGTCACTGTCCGCAGCTTGGGAGCTTCCTGTTGTCAGCACAGCCATCTTGGCCAACAAAGAGACAACCACTGTGATTGGTTGCCTTGGTCACATGATCAAGCCAATGTGGATTGCTTGTACAAGTCCCTCAGTCTACGATTGACATACATGTAAACATTTACCAAAAATAACGGTTGGTGTAATTTTCTTCTCAACTACACATATTAACACAAATATGTTCCACCGTCCGTGAAGTATGACAGTGATTGTACACTCAGTTGGTCCCACATTCACATGGGAGATTTTGTCTTCGACGACTCGTCCTCCAAGTCCTCTTCATAATTCCAACATTATAAGACCTAACTGTCAGGGATTCCCCCAGTCTGTTAAACAGTTCAAATCAACATCAAGAGAGTGCTATTGGTTCCCTTGTTGCCATGACAATGGCTGGATATATCTTGACATCAACCATCAGTTGCCCATGGAAGCAGACGAGTACAACTGATATATTTTTGGAATAGTCAGCAAGATATATCGTTCAATACCTACATAACATATATATCTACACTTGATATCATTATGCCATGGTGTAAAAATACTGCACGATAACAAGTCAAGTCTTCACCCACCTCATCAGTCCCAATATTACTGGCGCCAGTAGAAGTTTAACAACACAATCATTTTTCAATAGTAACACTGCTAGCCGGTGATTCCTCATTGGTTAATTTCCGTCACAAGACATAGTGTTACTGGTCACATGATAGGATCGATGGTTATGATTGGCAGGTCCATATCCTACGGTACATAAATGGAATGATATAGAATGGTAATCCCACCTGGTATTGTGTCAACATGAGACTGACTCATCTGACAAGGAGGGGTGTGTAGGTAGTTGAACAATACCTACCTGCCACCCCTCCCAAACAAAACCAGATGACAATGGAGCCTTCCACAAACCCATAGACAGCCACATCCAACAGGCAAAATGTCCCTGCACTTCCAACAAGACCGATCTTGACCTCATCTAGAATTCTGGCAAGTTTTTGCTCTTAGACTTCAGTATCTCTCTGCATGTTTAAAGCATCCATCTGTTCCAGAATAAAAGAGATGGTATTTTGCCGAATAACACCAATATGGGCTTTCAGTGTGAGAATTTGCTCGTTTGCAGTTTCTAGACGTGCCCTCAAACGTAGGTTCTCGTCCATCAGCTGTTCCCGCGCCTGCAACAGAGAGAAGTTCTGTTACTACACCTCACTCACAACACCGTCGACATGCACGGGCACAACACCATCACATACTGCTACACATGTAGGCTTAATAGGGGATGAGCTGCCTTCCTCATCATGATGAATATTTCCATTGAACTATCATATAACTTAACATTTTCAGCGGATGATGGAAAAATGTAACTATATGGTGTCAAACGACAGTGAACAAAGTTATTATCTTCTTCATAATCTTGATTATCTTTTTTTTTAAAGTAATATTTGCATTTAATTTCATTCTGAAATTGGTACTTTTCATCTGATAAACTGGGGTAGGATTAGCATAAGAATTATCAGTTTAAATTACAGGAAGAATATAAAGGGAAATTGAAAGAAAAAATATGAAAAGTTTAAAACAGCACCCTAGACATTTTGAGAAAGTGCTAAATGTACTTATTTAGTAAAGTGTAAAAAAATAACAGTGAAAGAGGATTCCAAAGTTGAAACTTAACAAACGGGCAGATTTAGTCAGGAAACAGACAAGGAAAGGACTTGCAGTTTGTTTTATATTGGCGTAGTCTGCTATAACTGAATCAAGGGGCAAGTATCGGGCATGAGATAAGCCATGCATAAAGAGCAGCCATGGTGCAGCAGGACCGGCCAATGTCTGACAACATCATCAGCCAGGACAACATAGGTCCACAAGGCATGCCACACATTGTTTCATCACAGACTTCCATCAGACAAACAGCTAGAGTGTACACAATTCCAAACAGCGTGATAGATCACTTAAAAAACATCATTGTTTATATTTTTCAATCATGATATTAATGTTAGAAGATTTCCAGGAAAAATAGACTCTTTGATAGTCTAAAGAAGTATTCCAGATTGAAAAGGCTTATGGATATAATGGATATGTACCCCATGAACAGAATACCGATACAGTACATCAGTTCTGGAACAGACTTTTTGGTAGCTTTGAAATTGGACAAATTGCACGATGTCTGTAATTGTCAGCTGGAAAGCATACAAACTAATCGTACAGTAAGTTGCATCAAGTGAGACTGTTTTCTGATCCTTCATGCACAGCTTATCTGTGGTTGGTGATGCATGTCCCTACGGGGCGGGCGGGCGCTATCACGTACATAGATGAATGGGTCTCGGACAGAGCCTCTACATAGATCTCACCAGGTGAACAACACTCTCATTCTACCTCTCAACAGAAACAGCGGTCGTACCAAAATATGAACATGTTTCAATAACCATGATAACCATATATACAGAATATATATACAACTTCATATTTAAACAATTTAAATTACCAGTTAAAATGAACTTCAAGAATAAACATGCAATATAAGTGTAAAAATCTACAAAAATATGCAAATATTAGTATTTTAATTTAATAAGGATAGAAATCCCATATAAATGAAAAAAGTTGAGCCCATCTACCTGCGTGCATTCTAATCTACAGTGGAAGTAGGTATTGTAGTCAGGTACATAGGTTCTCGCTAGAACAGGAGGCCATCACATAATACACATAAACAGTTCCTGCTGCTGAAATACAAATACTCATATAGCGGCAACCCGCAGTCAACACACGCTCCACCAATAATGTACATCTTCTACGCCTGTACTCGTAATATAGTCATGTTCAAATCTATGTCCTTCACTTTTTAAATCAACAATTTACTGTTTAAAAATACATTTGAGGATATAATATTTGCATGAGCAAGATTAGAAAAGTAAGAAAAGAAATTTTACGATTCCTATTTGGTTCCAGATGGATCTACATTTGTGAAGATATGGCTAGAATTGTATGAACAGATATTGTTATTGTGTACACAGGCAGAAAACAAGGGAATGTTTGACTGTAATCCAGTATTTCACACTGTTTGATCTATATACCCAAGGATGTTTAAGGTCAGTCTTGAATGGGTGAAGAATTTATGCACTTTCTTTGTCAGTCTATGTTCCCAAAGCTTGAGGAACATACACTAGCATAGAGTGTTCATCAACGCATGTAATCTGAATTCATCTTATCGGACACCTAATGCTATTGCAGGGTATATCTTATGCAGGCATGCTATGGTCCAATTAGTAAGATACTACCGTTAACCATTTCTTTACCAAGAGAAAATAGAGAAGTTTTTATAAATCTGTTTAATTTAGAAAATATTGTAAATCGCATGGCATTGGCATATATCAACTATTTGAGATAATAAATTGTGATTGGTATTTTGCTAATGAAATGCCTACAGTTTGACAATTTGGGTTTGGGGCTTGGAGGAGTGGGCACATTAAACAGATATCATACCAGTTAGCGGGTATATTGAAAATATTAGAATGGGTTTCAGCCAATCAGAATCTGACACTAATGTGCCAGGTAAGATAGCATGGAAAGTCAATCCTGTCATAGCAGCTTAACTTCCTGTGTGAACTACCTCTGATGAGATGACAAATGATTACTATCAGAATGAACAGATGTATGTGAAGAGATAATGTCTTTTATATAACCACTTCACCAAAACTTGCCAATAAGTTGGGAAATGAGGTTTTTTATTTTCACACTATCCTAGCATGGTAAGTCTGACACTTCCACTGCTAGTACACATCCGAGTCTCTAGTTCTCACTTTCATGCAGATGTAATTTTTATGCTATGTTTTGATTGTATGAATTTCAAACAGCCTGATACACTAAGAAAGAGGCAATACAGGGAGGGCATCTAAAGATGTGCTTGGAAACAAATGGATGAACACATTCTAGTTTGGATGGGTAACTCGGGCTGATGGGTTAATAGCAAGACCAGGGCACCAACACAATGTTCTCCACCGATGGTTAGTCACGTGATATATGCTGCTTAACAACCATGAGAAAGAACTCTATGGTTACTATTGGCAACACTACAAGTCAGTATTGGCAACACTACAAGTCAGTATTGGCAACACTACAAGTTACTATTGGCAACACTACAAGTTACTATTGGCAACACTACAAGTTACTATTGGCAACACTACAAGTTACTATTGGCAACACTACAAGTTAGTAATTTCAACATTTCTTTCTGTATGCATTAGTGGTGGTCCGATAAATTGAAATAATCAAAGATTGGTCACTGTGACTAAATGATCAAGCAATCGATCATGTTTTCTCATAATTGAACACAAACAATTTTGGAACACTTGTTTACATTAACAATATTTTTCATAAAGTTGGTTTTGTCTGTTACATTTCATAAGCACTACAAGCTCGTTCCAAGTCATGATTGAAATTATCTTAAAGACTCCAGGAAATTTATGTTCTTAACATACTAGTCATCCTTTAAAGATGTGACATTTGCAAACTCATGTAGTGCAATTTGAAACCCCCCTGAAAGAACTACATGTTTTTTTCTATATTTTTTGTGCATTAAGAAACTGAACCAGGAGAATTTGATAAATGATGCTAACCAATTATTTTTGATGATTTATTGGTTGTAATGAACCAATCATCAATTATGAGATTTTAACCAATTCCCAATACTAGTATGCATGCATTTTAGATACAGAATCAACTAACTTCAGTGTTTGCAACTAATACTTCTTGATAGGGCCTGGTAAATCGATTTCCAGCTGAACTTTCCACCCAACTCATCAGGGTGTTGTTGTACAAAACAGCCTTAGCACTATGACAGTCGGAAGTGTATGTTAAGGAATGGGAGTTACGATGACCTAAGATCGCTTTGTACAATGGTACCCTGACCTACAGAGTTACACAGGTAGGGCCAGGTAATAGGGGGAGGGTACCCAGGACGTAAATTTGAATCTCTTCCCAGTCCTAGAACAAATATAGCAACTGAAAATAACTGGATGAAAACATTCCCTTCTTTTCTCTCAGTTGTGTTTGTTATAGTATTATGTGAATCAATTAAAGTACATGTAAGGACTTAAGCAATAAATCATGTACTATAAGACAAAGAACACAAGATATCTATTTAGTGTAGAGTCACCATAGTGAAGAAGAGAAACCAGTAGCTTGGAGTATTAATGAAGATATTAAGTAGATAAGATGGAGAGGAAGATGAAAGTATTGAGGAGGGTCAAAGGTAATAAAATTAGTAAAGAGCTCTCTGTTAAATGTGAGAAAGTCAACTCAGGAGGGATAATGAAGAAAGAGTGTTACCATGGCAACAAATGACAACCCGAATACTCAAAGAAGTCTACGAGGAGAACAGAATCCTCATCCTTCAGTAATAGCGGTGTGCAAACATATTGTCTACAAACTTGTCAAACAAATTTGAAGGCGTCCTAAAAGCCAAGTATGATAATGCTTGCCTAGAAAATGTTCAATAATGGAAGGATCCGTCTGTGACAACTAATCCTTGAATTAAGCAAGATCTACTGCTTCTTTGAGAAAAGTTGAGATGATGTGTACACAAACAAAATAAAAAGGGGGTAGTATGATTACCGAAGTGCAGTCTCCAGGTTCTAGTGTGGCCATCTAACTTCCTACCTATAAGGAACAACTGAAAGCTTGCCTACTACCTAAAACTAATCTACCCAATCACCTGCCCCTTGTACATCTAATCACCAGCTGCTCATCAATCTAAACAACAGCCACTCATCCATAAAATCAGGTGCCTCTCATCCATCTAATAAGGTGTCAGTCATCCATCTAATCAGGTGCCTCTCATCCATCTACTCAGGTATCTCTCATCCATCTAATCAGGTGTCTCTCTAATCCATCTAATAAGGTGTCAGTCATCCATCTAATCAGGTGCCTCTCATCCATCTAATCAGGTGCCTCTCATCCATCTAATCAGGTGCCTCTCATCCATCTAATCAGGTGCCTCTCATCCATCTAATCAGGTGCAACACATCAATCTTAGCAGTGCTCTCATCCACATCCATCTTCAGGTGCATCCATCTAATCAGGTGCCTCTCATCCATCTAATCAGGTGCCTCTCATCCATCTAATCAGGTGCAACACATCAATCTTAGCAGTTGTCTCTCATCCATCTAATCAGGTGTCTCTCATCCATCTATTAGGTGTCTCTCATCCACCTATCAGGTGTCTCTCATCCATCTAATCAGGTGCCACTCATTCATCTAATCAGGTGTCTCTCATCCATCTAATCAGGTGCCTCTCATTCATCTAATCAGGTGCTCTCTTATAATCAAGGCATCATCCAATCAGATGCCTCTCATCCATCTAATCAGGTGCATCTATGTCATCCATCTAATCAGGTGTCTCTCATCCATCTAATCAGGTGTCTCTCATCCATCTAGGTGTCTCTCATCCATCTAATCAGGTGTCTCTCATCCATCTAATCAGGTGCAACACATCAATCTTAGCAGTTGTCTCTCATCCATCTAATCAGGTGTCTCTCATCCATCTATTAGGTGTCTCTCATCCACCTATCAGGTGTCTCTCATCCATCTAATCAGGTGCCACTCATTCATCTAATCAGGTGTCTCTCATCCATCTAATCAGGTGCCACTCATTCATCTAATCAGGTGCCTCTCATTAATCTAATCAGGCGTCTCTCATCCATCCAATCAGATGCCTATCATCCATCTTAGCAGGCATCTCTCATCCATCTAATCAGGTGTCTCTCATCCATCTAATCAGGTGTCTCTCATCCATCTAATCAGGTGTCTCTCATCCATCTAATAGGTGTCTCTCATCCACCTATCATGTGTCTCTCATCCATCTAATCAGGTGCCTCTCATTCATCTAATCAGGTGCCTCTCATCCATCTAATCAGGCGTCTCTCATCCATCTAATCAGGTGCCTCTCATCCATCTAATCAGGTGCCTCTCATCCATCTAATCAGGTGCCTCTCATCCATCTAATCAGGTGCCTCTTATTCATCTAATCAGGTGCCTCTCATGAATCTAATCAGGTGCCACTCATTCATCTAATCAGGTGCAACACATCCATCTAATCAGGTGTCACTCATCTATAAAATCAGGTGTCTCGTCCATCTAATCAGGTGCCCCTCATCCATCTAATCAGGTGCCTCTTATCAATCTAATCACCTGCATCTCGTCAATCTTAGCGCCTGCCTCCTATCAATCTTGTCACTGGCATTCATCTTTTTCATCTACTGTCTCTCAGTCATCTCATCATATCGCTCATCTATACAATCACATGCCCCATATCCACCTAGACACCTGTTGCTTCGTCGTCGAATTCAATCACAGCCATCCCTTCCATAAGAGGGATCTACATCTAAATATCCTTCCACCTGAGCAAGAGATTTATGTTCTCCCATCCATCCCTCCATTTTATCTCACGAGAGATCTACATTCACCTACACCTAACCATCCCTCCATCTTATCTCACAAGAGATCTACGTTCACCTACACCTAACCATCCCTCCATCTCCTCCCCACGAGAGATCTACATTCACCTACACCTAACCATCCCTCCATCTTCTCCACACAAGAGATCTATGTTCACCTACACCTAACCATCCCTCCATCTTCATCTACATCTCCTACCACACCCTCCAACCATCCTCCATCTCACCTACACCTAACCATCCCTCCATCTCCTCTCCTCCACAAGAGATCTATGTTCACCTACACCTAACCATCCCTCCATCTCCTCCCCATGAGAGATCTACATTCCTACCTAACCATCCCTCCATCTCCTCCCCAAGATCTACACTCACCCTACTACCTAACCATCCCTCCCCTCCATCTCCTCCCCACAAGAGATCTACGTTCACCTACACCTAACCATCCTCCATCTCCTCCCCATCCTACATTCCCTACACCTAACCATCCCTCCATCTCCTCTCCCCACAGATCTACGTTCACCTACACCTAACCATCCCTCCATCTCCTCCCACAGAGATCTATGTTCACCTACACCTAACCATCCCTCCATCTCCTCCCCCATCTCCACACTCCATCCCTCCATCTCCTCCCCAGAGATCTACGTTCACCTACACCTAACCATCCCTCCATCTCCTCCCCCAAGAGATCTACGTTCACCTACACCTAACCATCCCTCCATCTCCTCCCCCAGAGATCTCGTTCACCTACACCTAACCATCCCTCCATCTCCTCCCCACGAGGATCTACGCTCACCTCACCTAACCATCCTCCATCTCCTCCCACGAGATCTATAACCTACACCCTCCATCCTCCATCTCCTCCCACAAGAGATCTACGTTCACCTACACCTAACCATCCCTCCATCTCCTCCCCACAAGAGATCTATGTTCACCTACACCTAACCATCCCTCCATCTCTACTCCCCTACACCCTAGATCTCACATTCACCTACACCCTAACCATCCCTCCATCTCCTCCCACACAGAGATCTATGTTCACCCCACACTCTAACCATCACTACACACCTAACCATCCCTCCATCTCCTCCCCAACTACGCATTCCCTACACCTAACCATCCCTCCATCTCCCCCCAAAGAGATCTAACCATTCACCTACACACCTACACCAACTCCATCTCCTCCATCTCCTCCTCTACTACAGATCTATCTTCATCCACTACCTAACCATCCCTCCATCTCCTCCCACGAGAGATCTACGTTCACCTACACCTAACCATCCCTCCATCTCCTCCCACAAGAGATCTACGTTCACCTACACCTAACCATCCCTCCATCTCCTCCCCACGAGATCTACGTTCACCTACACCTAACCATCCCTCCATCTCCTCCCCACGAGATCTATGTTCCACACCTAACCATCCTCCATCTCCTCCCACTACGTTCACCTACACCCTAACCATCCCTCCATCTCCTCCCCACAAGAGATCTCGTTCACCTACACCTAACCATCCCATCCATCTCCTCCCCACAGGAGATCTATGTTCACCTACACCTAACCATCCCTCCATCTCCTCCCCCACACGAGAGATCTACGTTCACCTACACCTAACCATCCCTCCATCTCCTCCCCACGAGAGATCTATGTTCACCTACACCTAACCATCCCTCCATCTCCTCCCCACAAGAGATCTATGTTCACCTACACCTAACCATCCCTCCATCTCCTCCCCACGAGAGATCTACTGTTCACCTACACCTAACCATCCCTCCATCTCCTCCCCACAAGAGATCTACGCTCACCTACACCTAACCATCCTCCATCTCCCCCCTGACGAGATCTCTGTTCACCTACACTACACCTAACCATCCCTCCATCTCCATCTCACCTAACCATCCCTCCATCTCCTCCCCACGAGAGATCTATGTTCACCTACACCTAACCATCCTCCATCTCCTCTCCCACAGAGATCTCCTTCACCTACACCTAACCATCCCTCCATCTCACTCCCACCTAGATCCTCCATCTCCTCCCCACAAGAGATCTAACCATCCCTCCATCTCCATCTCCTCCACAGAGATCTACGTTCACCTACACCTAACCATCCCTCCATCCATCTCCTCCCCACGAGATCTATGTCTCCATTTCACCTACACCTAACCATCCCTCCATCTCCTCCTACAACCAGAGATCTCACCTGCTCACCTACACCTAACCATCCCTCCATCTCCTCCCTCCCACAAGATCTCTTTCACACTACACCTCCACCATCCCTCCATCACCTAACCATCCCCCATGAGAGATCTATGTTCACCTACCACCTAACCATCCCTCCATCCTCCATCCCTCCCAAGAGATCTACGTTCACCTACACCTAACCATCCCTCCATCTTACCTCCCATCAAGATCTACGTTCACCTACACCTAACCATCCCTCCACCTTCCCTCTCACAAGAGACCATCCCTACACCTAACCATCCCTCCATCTCCTCCCCACAAGAGATCTACGTTCACCTACACCTAACCATCCCTCCATCTCCTCCCCACGAGAGATCTACGTTCACCTACACCTAACCATCCCTACATCGCCTCCCCACAAGAAATCTATGTTCACCTACACCTAACCATCCCTCCATCTTATCTCACGAGATCTATGTTCACCTACACCTTACCGGCCTCCATCTTCTCCCACGAAAGATCTACATTCCCTTAAACATCCAGCCATGTTAATCCCTAATCAACTTTCATGAACACCTAGCTAACCAGCCATGTTGTTCTCTATGTGAGACCTATGTTCATGTACTAGGTGTCATCAACTCCTGTTCCTCTTCCTCCCAGGGGAGATCTATGTAGAAGCAAAGCAAACAAGTGTACACATCTATGTACGGGCGTGGAAACCGGTGGCAGCAGTGAAACAACTACACAACTCAGAAAGGTGGCAAATCTACGATCAAGAAACAGCTCAGTCTGAGGCTACCCAACAAAGGGAGGTAACTCTGAGCTAGCAACTTACTGCACCTCCTCTTCGGAATCTGAACCGCTCTACAAACAGAAGACAGAAAACATCAACAGTCACACAACAGACATGTTGCTGGAGTTGCTACTAGATTCCAGCACTGGCACTGTAATCATAGTACAAGACTGGGAGATGTCTAGGACATTCAAGTCACATCGATTCCCCACGATACAGATAACCTAACACCGATACAAAGAATACGTTCTACTTGATTTAGAAAAATATTCTTGCTTGTAAAATTGAGGAGTGTTAAAAAAGGAAGTCAAGATATTCTGAGAAAGAATTATTTCACCTGTGTTTCAATTCAAATGTCAACCAAATGATGAGTGTTATAGGATATCTTCCTCCCTTGAATGAGTGAGTGCATAGTGGTTATATCCACCTAGTCTGACCATGAGATCAGTTAGATGTGTTTACCGCTAGTCCCAATGTAGATGTATTTACCGCTAGTCCCAATGTAGATGTATTTACCTCTAGTCCCAATGTAGATGTATTAGTCCCAATGTAGATGTATTTACCGTTAAGTCCCAATGTAGATGTATTTACCTCTAGTCCCAATGTAGATGTATTTACCTCTAGTCCCAATGTAGATGTATTTACCTCTAGTCCCAATGTAGATGTGTTTACCTCTAGTCCCAATGTAGATGTATTTACTACTAGTCCCAATGTAGATGTATTTCTACTAGTCCCAATGTAGATGTGTTTACCTCTAGTCCCAATGTAGATGTATTTACCGCTAGTCCCAATGTAGATGTATTAACCTCTAGTCCCAATGTAGATGTATTTACCTCTAGTCCCAATGTAGATGTGTTTACCGCTAGTCCCAATGTAGATGTATTTACAGCTAGTCCCAATGTAGATGTATTTACCGCTAGTCCCAATGTAGATGTATTTACCTCTAGTCCCAATGTAGATGTATTTACCCCTAGTCCCAATGTAGATGTATTTACCGCAAGTCCCAATGTAGATGTATTTACCTCTAGTCCCAATGTAGATGTGTTTACCTCTAGTCCCAATGTAGATGTGTTTACCTCTAGTCCCAATGTAGATGTATTTACTACTAGTCCCAATGTAGATGTATTTACTACTAGTCCCAATGTAGATGTGTTTACCGCTAGTCCCAATGTAGATGTGTTTACCTCTAGTCCCAATGTAGATGTATTTACCTCTAGTCCCAATGTAGATGTATTTACCTCTAGTCCCAATGTAGATGTGTTTACCTCTAGTCCCAATGTAGATGTATTTACCTCTAGTCCCAATGTAGATGTATTTACCACTAGTCCCAATGTAGATGTGTTTACCGCTAGTCCCAATGTAGATGTGTTTACCTCTAGTCCCAATGTAGATGTGTTTACCTCTAGTCCCAATGTAGATGTATTTACTGCTAGTCCCAATGTAGATGTATTTACTACTAGTCCCAATGTAGATGTATTTACCGCTAGTCCCAATGTAGATGTATTTACCTCTAGTCCCAATGTAGATGTGTTTACCTCTAGTCCCAATGTAGATGTATTTACTACTAGTCCCAATGTAGATGTATTTACTACTAGTCCCAATGTAGATGTATTTACTGCTAGTCTCAATGTAGATGTATTTACCTCTAGTCCCAATGTAGATGTATTTACCTCTAGTCCCAATGTAGATGTGTTTACCTCTAGTCCCAATGTAGATGTACCTTTAGATGTATTTACCTCTAGTCCCAATGTAGATGTGTTTTACCTCTAGTCCCAATGTAGATGTATTTACCTCTAGTCCCAATGTAGATGTGTTTACCCTAGTCCCAATGTAGATGTGTTTACCTCTAGTCCCAATGTAGATGTGTTTCCCAATGTAGATGTGTTTATGTATTTAGTCCCAATGTAGATGTGTTTACCACTAGTCCCAATGTAGATGTGTTTACCTCTAGTCCCAATGTAGATGTGTTTACCTCTAGTCCCAATGTAGATGTGTTTACCTCTAGTCCCAATGTAGATATGTTTTTACCTCTAGTCTAGTCCCAATGTAGATGTATTTACCTCTAGTCCCAATGTAGATGTATTTACTAGTCTAGATCTCAATGTAGATGTATTTACCTCTAGTCCCAATGTAGATGTGTTTACCTCTAGTCCCAATGTAGATGTGTTTACCTCTAGTCCCAATGTAGATGTATTTACTACTAGTCCCAATGTAGATGTATTTACTACTAGTCCCAATGTAGATGTATTTACTGCTAGTCTCAATGTAGATGTATTTACCTCTAGTCCCAATGTAGATGTATTTACCTCTAGTCCCAATGTAGATGTATTTACCTCTAGTCCCAATGTAGATGTATTTACCACTAGTCCCAATGTAGATGTGTTTACCGCTAGTCCCAATGTAGATGTGTTTACCTCTAGTCCCAATGTAGACATATCCACCACTAGCTCGGACAGAGACGCCCCCTTCTCCTATACTTTTCATCCATTTACCAAAGAGAATAAACAAATTGTTTCCAACTAAAATAGAAAGGAATAGGCTTCATATTTGAGTATAAATGTTTTTGGGTAAATTTTGCATCTACAACACCACCTGGCTGTACAATGAGAGGGAACCACGTGACTGGCTACTGTTATACAATACTCAACTACAGGTGAGAATCAGTGTTGTACCATGTTGGAAGCCACCCCTCCACAACATGAGTACGGCTGTATACCTGACAAGTCACACATGTTGATACATGGCATAATGTAGAAGGCATTGTACACAAGCAGTATATTGGAACTATTAGGCGATTAATATTTATTTGGTTGGTTTACAGGTCCGACACTAAAAAAATAGCAACGCGAAAAATAAAATAAAATGACTTTTCTCATGTATTGCAGACTCTGATAGGATATAAATAGAAATAAATATGTTTAACATACATTTTCATTCCAGTTAGTATGTGCTGTAGAAGATTCCTTGTGAAGGAAGAAAATACACAGCAAGTAATCGCTGCAAAGCATGAAGCAATGGCGACCAATAAGAGTTACAGCCCTTTGATATGACATTTCAGTTGTGCAGTCATTTAGGTTGGATAATGACAACATTCATGTGCCTCGTGAATACTGACAAGATTATATTTTTAACTGGTTTAAACAACCAACAAAATACAATTCTGTAAACCAACTAAGAGAAAATAATCGCCCAATAGAACAGTGATTGCACAAAGAGCTAGTGTAGCGCACGTGAGACAAGCAAACATAGGCAGGGCTTACCTCTTCTGCTTTGATCAGTCTCTCGTAGATCAGTGGCTTCCCCTCATAGAACTCTCCATCCTGGCTCTCGCTGTGGGACCTCTGACGACCTTCACGTAGCACTCGGATTTCAGGTTGTGGGGAGGGGTTAGCGCTAAGGTTTTGAGCTCTGCGGTGACGCTGGGAGATTTTCCGTTTTGCCGATAAGGTCAAGTCATGTGGCCCGACACCTGCACGAGTCAGGAAGATGGATCAATAAAAAAATAATGTACAAACATAAGGTGAGTAGGGTGGTTAGACACCTGAACAGTATTCCAGTTATATCTGTGAGTGAGTGAGTTATTATTTAAAGTCACATCGGCAATATTTCAGCCATATCGTGACGAGAACATATGTGACATTGAAATGGAGTAGATGTATATTATAAAAACCTGTCTACGAAGGACAGTAAAACAACTAGAATATCACAATTACAACTAAAACTAGTGTGGAAAATTAAAACTAATAGTACTATTTGGACAATACAATATAAAAACTGGCTATAGATCGCCAACAACAGAAGGTAGATCACCAAACTAGGGATCATGGGGACTTACAGTACTTTTGCTACCTGCATGGACCCTAGTTGGATTTATATCACCCCTTCAGTCGCTGTTGATTGAAGTCAAATTTAGCCAAAATTAAAACGACAAGAATACTACATTTAAAACAGCTGGTAATATTTAAATTTCCTTTGAATGTTTCGGGACTTACGTACCCTCTCAGGAGGACAATAATTCCAGTTATATCAAATCATGTCAGCTTATTGTGAGAGGAAAGCCCTAAATGGTGAAGCTTATTTCCCATTTTGGTAAAACCCATGAGTTAACACACCAGTCCGGTGCTAACAAACCTTGAAAAGGAATGAGAGAAAACCAGGTATCGAAAAACGATAAGCTTCTGGAGTGCCCTAGCGACAAAGCTCAGCACAGTCAACTGAAGTACCTTAGACTAGGCCACATTGTGCTAGTCTTTGCCTTTTTAGCCTTCTTGTACTAGGCGGGGCGGCAGGGTAGCCTAGTGGTTAAAGCGTTGGCTCATCACGCCAAGACCTGGGTTCGATTCCCCACATGGGCACAATGTGTGAAGCCCATTTCTGGTGTTCCCCGACGTGATATTGGTGGATTATTGCTAAAAGCGGCGTAAAACTAAACTCAGTCAGTCAGTCAGTCAGTCAGTCTTGTACAAGGCCGCCGGCGAGAGCTGGTTGTACATTAGTGGGCGACCTACCATTAGACACGGACTGTGGGTGACCTACCGTTAGACATGGACTCTGTCCTCCTATGTCCCTTGCTCCGACACTCCATCACCACCAAATCCTTGCAGTGCTTGTGGGCATTGATTGCACAGTCTGGAAGCACAGGGCAGACATGAGAACACAATACCTACAAAAGGTTTCAGATATTCACAGCTGTCTGCACCCAATCATCCACAAGACTGTGCATAAATGGGGTGTGTCAGGTCATTATGTAATCTTAACTATACACATCGTTAATGTTTACACATTAAACAACAAGTAATACCACATTATAATAGTGGTCACAGTGATGCAATTATTACTTTCCATGTGTACGAAATCAAAGAATTGTTTAATACCAAAAAAGGAAATGTGTTGGGGTTTTTAATATTGCAAGAGGCAATCAATAAATACTTCAATTTATAATTTGTATACAGTCTGCATTCCAAATATCAAAGTGTTGTTGCTTCCACCCCAGGTAAGTTTATCCACACACAACCTACCTTTACATTTCCAGCCCTGCTTGATCAAGCCCCATAGCTGGAAGAACACAGTTACCATGGTTACAGATACTCTCTGGTGAGACAGCATCATATCATCAATATTACAAGGTATTAAATATCCTGCAGACATTCTACAATATACAATATATACATGTACATGTATATCCAAGCGTTAGGTTTCCATATTTCTCTACATGAACAAATACAAGTGTCCATATTCCTGGAAAATATAGGTGTCCATATTCCTGGAAAAATACAAGTGTCCATATTCCCCAACATATACATGTGTCCATATTCCCCAACAAATACAAGTGTCCATATTCCCCAACAAATACAAGTGTCCATATTCCCCAACAAATACAAGTGTCCATATTCCCATGACACATACAACTGTTCATGTTCCCCAACATACACATGTGTCCATATTCCCCAACAAATACAAGTGTCCATATTCCCCCAACAAATACAAGTGTCCATGTTCCCTGACACATACAAGTGTCCATATTCCCCAACAAATACAAGTGTCCATATTCCCCAGACACATACAAGTGTTCATATTCCCCAACATATACAAGTGTCCATATTCCCCAACAAATACAAGTGTCCATATTCCTGGACAAATACAAGTGTCCATATTCCCCTGACACATACAACTGTTCATGTTCCCCAACATACACATGTGTCCATATTCCCCAACAAATACAAGTGTCCATATTCCCCAACAAATACAAGTGTCCATATTCCCCCAACAAATACAAGTGTCCATATTCCCCAACAAATACAAGTGTCCATATTCCCCAACAAATACAAGTGTCCATGTTCCCCTGACACATACAAGTGTTCATATTCCCCAACAATACAAGTGTCCATATTCCCCTGACACATACAAATGTTCATATTCCCCAACATACACATGTGTCCATATTCCCCAACAAATACAAGTGTCCATATTCCCCAACAAATACAAGTGTCCATATTCCCCAATAAATACAAGTGTCCATGTTCCCCCCACCAAGTGTCCAAATTCAGTGACATAAAATTCAATTCCCTAACATATACAGATGTCATATTCCCCATTATAAACCTCCAGTGACGTCACTCTATTGTCTCGCCAGGTTCTCCTTTCACCGAGTAAACCTCTGCAGGTAGTTTCGCGGGCATTCTCGTGGATTTTCTACAGAATTGCCCACATCCCGGGATTTTCTGAGGAATAGCCCTCGACATTGAATTATTACTTGCTTTGAAGATTGATCTAACTTTGTCTTGCTATCACTGAATTTGATCGTAAAATATCACATTATTGAAAACTTCCAATATGTAGTGCCGCTGCCTGGTTTGGAAACTGCAACTCTTCTCTTACTAGCTTGGCGGTTTTAACCACTAGGCTACAAAGGATCGCTGTGTGAAGAATAAGATTGTTTGTCAGTATGAACCATGTGTTCCTCACAAGACAGGTAGTGCGGGCAGGGCGCGGGCAGGATACGGGTAGCGCGTGCAAGACAAGGTGTCAGCTGCCAGTCGCATCCCAGTTGATTTCAACAGTAAATACCCTATATCAAAATTATATCTGAAATATATCTTCAGTCAGTTCATAACTCCGAGGTTTTGATCCTTTACGAATATAGCAGTGTTCATATTTCCAACACGTAAAAGCACAGACAGTTAACTCACCAGCCCTGTACAGTGGATGCAGAAGGTAGGTTTGAAGTATGTGGTTTCGTGGAAGGCGTGTTTGAAACTACTGCGCACAGCATGGCAATTGGCTCGGATGAAGTATGTTTTCATTTCCTCTTTGCTTATCATTCCATCTCTACAACAGAGAACAGTCAAGTGTCTCAACATGCACACAAACTGCCCCATCCAATATGTCAACAAAAACCTCTATAACACAACAGCCAGGGAGTAGTTATTTTTCAACTGGTCATTTATAATTTGTACCTGATGCACTACATTTCAGAACAAGTTAGCTGATAATCATGACTGACCAAACAAATATTATGAAACATGTGACAATCCTTGGGGAAATATTTCCAGAACGTGTCCTTCCCATCTTTGCCGATGCTGTATTTGGAGTGGCAGTCTCCAGTTATGATGCTATACTTTTCTTAAAAATCATTAATTTTTATGTATATAGCTTCCCGCGACTTACTGATCGGCGTCCAGCACACAGAAGGAATCAATGAAGGGGAAGTTGCCAGCGATGGCCTCAAATTCAGCGTGAGAAATAAACCCATCTCGGTCATGGTCATAGTTTTTGTACACAGCCTGAAACGAAACGGAAGTCCTGAATGATTGGCACTGCTAGATGAGCACACTGTAAGTAGATAGATGAGTACACTGTAAGTAGATAGATGAGTACACTGCTTCAATGATGGTTGCCAGTATTCTGCTTTAATGATGAGTGCCGATCGACTCAGTAATCTTAATGTTAATAAGTACCCATAGAATTTACAACAAAGTTCCTAATCCTAACCATGATTTACATGGGGTCCTGTTTCAGGTACTTTCTTCTAGCTGAAATTATTATCAAGCTGTAATATTCTATTATCTAGGACAGTAATGACAAGGAGTATCAATGAGACATGTGCTCCGCTTACCTCCACCATGTCGTGGACATGTTTGTTGATGGTGCTGGGATCAGGGGGCTTAACTCCGGCGACCCAGTCAGCAAACACTACTGGCTTTGTGGGTGTTGTAGGCTAGAAGAAAAACCAGTTCTTGTAATTAATAATCAGATATTATGTTATGAATGCTTTCACACACTATACAAAATACCAGCATTTCATCATGACTTTCACCTATAATGGCACCATTGCATTATATTTGACTTCTAACTACAATTCCTTTCCTGGGCATTAATTTGTTGCTACCAGCCCTTTCTCTGACAACTCCACACATGTGTTGTTACAAATTATTTTTCGGACAAGTCGATGCGTTGTGTGTTGATAAAAAACTACCGTATATTACCGACTATAAGTCGGATCTGACTATTAGTCGGGCCCCTTTCTCAACCCTCTAAATTCTTGCCAAAACCATGTAACTCAAATATAAGTCGACCCCTTTCCCCGTATGTATCGGTGTTGGGTAGATCAACGTCGTAACACTATAACATGACAGAACGTAAACACGTTGGAATTCGATGGTAAGTGTTGAAGTTGTAAACAAATGTTTGTTTTGTTTTGATATTTACTGTTTCATACAAACGGAACACTTTGTATATGGCATAATAAAACATCCAATAAAGTGTTGGCTTACTGTGTTTATTATCTTTTGTAAAAGCATGTTCTTTTGCCAGATTGGTGAACGGAAAGTTCAAGACACCTGAAACTTGTTTATTTTGAGAGCAGATTTCTGATTGGCTAATGATAAAATGAAAGGCCAATCAACAGAAGCCTTTCATAAGCAAGAAAGGTTGTATTTGTGTGAAATGTTTTTCAACTTTGTTTAAAAAGTGAGCGTATGTGTTAAGACCAACTATCATTGAAAACACATCATATAAATGTTACTAAATTCATATATGTTTGATGCGAAAATTATGAAAATTATCAGCTACTGTACTGATTCGTTTACCGAGACTGACCGAGTGACACAGATATTTGACTTCGATGTAATTTCTTGATTAATATCATCTGTAGTATTTATTAAATTATCAACAGTATTTTTCAAAACCATCACACAAAACTGCCACAGAATACAAAGAAGTTTACTTTACGTGAAACTTTCTTTCAAGTCGTGTCACGTGGCCCAACTTTATCGATCGATAACAAAGTAAATAGTTGTGATCAAAATATCTAATTAAATTTTTGGGGTAGATTAATGAACTCAATTATAAGTCGGGTCTGATTTTTTAGCTCTTTTTTTCAGGTATCAAATTTCCGACTTATAGTCGGTCATATACGGTACTTGCCTGGCAACTCCACACGTGTTGCTACAAACGATTGCCCTGACAACTCAATATTTTGCTTGTTGCTTCAGACTATTTCCCTCACAACAGTACTTGTTATGTGCAACTACAGATATTTGCTCTGACATCTGAAAATGTTGCAAATTCTGACAAACTATTTCCCTGACACCATGATGTGTTTCTACTCACAGATGACACGGATCCTCTGGGTTCCCGAGCCAGAGACAGCTCGTAAATCTCATCCTCTGTGTAATGGAGGTCCAGGGACAACTGTAGGATGGAAACATTGACATCCTTGAATGAGTTTATTGTCTACAATTTCCTGTATTAGTGATAATGTTAACAATACTTCTTCACCACAAAGGGATGCCAGAAGATCAATGCCAAAGGCAGATTGATGTCTTTATACACTGACATAGTGAGTGAGTGAGTTTGGTTTTATGCCGCTATTAACAATATTCCAGCAATATCTCGGCAGGAGACACCAGACTGACTGACTGAGTTTAGTTTTACGCCACTTTTAGCAATATTCCAGCAATATCACGGCGGGGGACACCAGAAATGGGCTTCACACATTATACCCATGTGGGGAATCAAACCCAGGTCTTTGGCGTGACAAGCGTACCCCATCACCCTCCAGTGACATAAGGTATAAACCAGGTTTATTGCAGTTATCACATATAGTGACATGCATGTGGGAATGACTGCATGTACTAGTCTGGACTAATGCCGATTTTATAACGCATGACCAAGGGGATATCATGCCTTTATCGAACATGGATTCCCCACTCAGACACAGTACACAGACTGTCAGCCAACCAGTCCTTCCTTGTTTCAGTCTCCTAATGAAGCCAAGATGACAAAATTTAGCATCTTTTAACATCTTTTGGTGCAGCGCATACTGATCAACCCACAGACCGTCAACTTTCTGGGCAGATGCTCCATCCACGGAGGCGGTCCCATGTAGGCATTAGATAGTTGAATGAGTGGATATGCAGCTTTAAGCAATATTCAAGCCATCCGAAAGTGAGAGACAGAAAGAATTAGGGCTGTCTATCTATATAGATCGTAGATAACTGTTAACAAAATATCGATTGATTAGCGATAAATATCGCAGAAGTAACCTTGACCAAGAATGAAAAAAGAGACTGAAAGAAATCAACATGTGTCATATCACTGGATTATGAGTGAGTTGTGTATTCAGCCGGTAAAACATGATTGGCAGATTGCATTTGGCACACGCATGTTTTGGAAAATAAAACATCATTTCATCACAATGTAAGATATTATCGATGACAAATATTATGTCTATAATTGTTCATAACACTTGCCATTGACAACATTTCTGATTATTAATAATTTTAGCAAGCTCCAGCAAGGACATACTTCACACATTTCACAAACGGTACTGTTGTACATCTCATTTCAATGTACACTCTTCTTGATGGCATGAAACCATGAAACCCGAGTCAACACTGTACAATGAACATAGCACTACTTACTCTCAAAGTATTGACTAAGTCCATATTGGCATCAACAGGGTCGCTGTCTTGTCGTTGTAGGCGCGTGAGCTCGGTGAGGATGAGGGACAGTTGAGCCATCTTGCGGAAGTTGACCAGGTTACCTTCCACCTTGTCTGGGAGGGCCGTGTGCAGAGAGATGAGATCCTTCAAGTGAACACCCCTGGAGAAGAATCACCAGCTTCTTTAGCATTTAAATTATATTATATTTAAATATTTAATATATATAAATTATATTGCTTTTGCATACCTGCAAACTCTCACATGTCCATTACCTGTGTCACACTCGCACGACAAAACTCATAAATCTCATGCCAAAGATGCTTCGGATGAAAAATAAATATAGAAATCTGTTAAAATAGGTCTGAATATATAGTTTTCAGTTACTTTTCTGAGAAGGAAATTTGCATTTACACGTTGGCTTCTGGGGAGGGGACATCAGTCCTTAGACCCGGCTTCTCATGCTTAATTCCCTCTTGGGGTTGGAAACTCTGTGTTACATTTATTCTCAGTGAACTAAAGACTATGCAAACAGCTTTATACATGCGCAACAGGCAAGAACATGAGTGAAATACATGTTATGTGATGTTCACATGAGCACATTCATCAGAGATCCTAAGGGCTGATTTGTTGGTGGGTTTACATATTCTTTTTTATTTTTATTTTTTTTTATTCATTCAAAATCAGTAGATACAAATATACAAAGTACATGATGCAACAGAACTTGTACACAGAAACAGAAATTCATGTGGGTTGGCATTACACATACTGGAATCTTCATTATTATTAAGCTGGGAATGTGTGCAATAGAGATGACCATTTTCTGTCAAATTGTAATATGTTTTGATTTTTATTGGTAATAAACATTTCTGTCTTGAAAATATCACTCAATATATTTACAAATGTATCCAGTGATGACTTATTTCTTTTAATACTTGATACATGGATGTATTTTTTACTGGCAAGAAGTATGTGGTTCATAAGGTCGTTATTATTTCCGCCAATTAAGACTGTATATTTTGTATTCACATTCTTTCAACATTAAACATCAAGAGAAAAAGTTAAGCCCCTCAGCACATACTGAAACAAGCAGGACTTACAGGATTGGTATTTTAAAGCCTGTTGCTTGGTGATATATTTTCCTGTAATTACTGAAGTTGTTATTTGAAGACAGCAGTTCTGTGTACTCTATTAAAATCTGGAAAAAGGAAAAAAGAAATAAACAAAATATGGATACTCATAGATCACATAATGGAACAATGAGTGAGTGAGTGAGTTTAGTTTTACACCGCACTCAGCAATATTCCAGCTATATGGTGGCGGTCTGTAAATAATCAAGTCTGGACCAGACAATCCAGTGATCAACAGCATGAGCATCGATCTGCGCAATTGGGACACGATGACATGCGTCAACCAAGTCTGCGAGCCTGACCACCCGATCCCGTTGGTTGCCTCTTACGATAATGGAACAAGCAATATATAATATTAATTAACAATTTATGAAAAACTCTTTGCTGAAATCTAGCAAGACAAGAGTCCTAAGACGTAAACAAATCTAGAAGGAGCAGAGACAAATTCAGACAAGAGTTGTTTGTGAAGATAATCAACATTATTAATTTTGTCAAAACCACATATTGCTGTTTACCTTGTGAGTTTCTGAGGGCAGACATGCATTAGTTTTGGAGAGTCTGGCCAGTGCGCTGTGTGTAAGCCCTCCAACAATAGCCATCAGTGTGTTGAAGTTCTGTAGTACCCGCAGTCTCTGTAAACATACGGAACACTCCCAGGTAGCAAACTCGCAGCCGTCTCAGCAGGTACATGCATGTTGAAACACAAAGTAGAGTACTTGAGGTAGATGGAAACTTATTATATCGACAGTTTCAGAGACTGCAGAGAGTGCAGTGTTCATGACACCTTGTCCTGCCAATGTCTTAATGCTTATATTACAATAAGGTTTTTAGCTTCCTTCATGTAATTCAATCATTGCTTGAACATAAAAGAACCAGAGTTCTTGAACAGCAGAAAACAAATTGCAAGAAAGGCTCACTGGAATTGATCTTGTGTTTTCAATTCACTTTGAAAAATATATTAAGCCTGACTTTTTCTTATTCAAATTCAGGTTGGTAGTTTTAAAAAATCCAGATAAAAAATTCCAATTTTAAATATTACGATGAGTTTATTTTTGGAATTTGAACCAACCCTTTGCCAAAACCTACCAACGGAATATTAGCCTCAACCACAGAAATCAGAAAGTAAAGAAAATAGCTGAAAAGTATTTCACCAACCTTGGCCACATTGACAAATTTAATAATGACATCAGCTCTCTGTTGAGGTGTTGTTTTACTGAGAACCATACACTGGACCCACTGAGAAAGGCCGTTGAATAACGCTATTGATCGCTCCAACTTGAGGTTCTCCTTCAGAGATGCTGTCACTGCATAGTTCTTGAAATCTGAAAACTGCATGCACAAAGATTCCATTAAGGGGTTGTCATCAGAAGAGGGAGTGTTTATTTCTTGTTTAACGCCACACTCAGCATTATTCCAGCTATATGGTGGCAGTCCGTAAATAATCGAGTCTGGAACAGACAATCCAATGATCAACAGCATGAATATCGATCTACACAATTGAGATATGATGACATGTGTCAACCAAGTCAGTGAGCCTGACCACCCGATCCCGTTAATCAACTCTATCAACAAATAGAAGAGGAAGCACGAGTCTGGAGGTTCAGTGTTCACTTGTCAGCCCACAGGCCTGAGTTCAATCCTGACACTGCACCATGTGTGAAGCAATTTGAAGAGCAATTTTGTTAATTGTTAATTTCTTAATTAAGAGGGCTAATAACATCATCACTTTCTCACTGTAATGAATAGAGCGTGAACATATGTACAAAGCTACAGGACCGCCTCCGTGGAGTAGTAGTGCTTAGAACCTCCGCCTGGAGAGCGGAAGGTCGCGGGTTCGATCCCCGACCAAGTCATACCAAAAGACGTTAAAATATGGTACTTGTTGGTCCCTGCCTGGCTCTCGGCATTAATGGGTACAACAAGGACTGGTTGGCTCGGAGTCAGTATAATGTGTCTGAGTGGGGTATTCATGCTTCACTGCGGCATGGTATCTCAGTGGGTAGCACTATAAAACCAGCTTAAGTCTGGGCTAGTACAAGCAGCCTCACATACACATACACACGCATGCACGTCGTCATATGAGCACAATATTCTCCAGCACGACGTCAAACCCAATTTCACCTCACCTCACCTAATAGGAGTGCATGGTAACCTGGAAACTTCCTGATGTGAGTGCATGGATTACCTAAAACAGGCAATTTTGTAACTGGTAACTCTTAGACGTGTGTACAGGGGTCACCTAATAGAAGGACTATGGTAACCGAGTCGGCTGACAGATGTAGGGAAGTGTGTGGAGTGAGACCTGACTACATACATCAGGGATATGCCAATGATGAGAGTAAACTGCAATATCATGGCACACTCTGGTCTGGACTACACAAAACAAACATTTCAAGTTTGATTTTTGTTCACACTGCATAGACCAAACAATCCAGTGATTGGTGTAATGAGCAAAACACTGTCTGGTTACATGAACATGCCAGTACTAAGTAGCCAGGCTTAACTTCCTGGGGCTCCTTTCACGAAGCAGACTTTACTAAGGTTACTTAACTCCCATTCTTTAACATTCCACTAAGGTTACCTTAGTGACTTACTATCACCTTAGTGCTTTGTGAAAGGAGGCCCTGGTCCATTAAAAGAACCAATGTCAATCATATTACTACCAAATTTGCAAATATGTGTAAGCTCATTTCCGACTGGACAATTAGGAGCTTTCAGCATCCAATGAAAGGAGCTGAAATAAAACATCTTTGATTCAATAACTCTTTTGTCAACAAAACTTACATGAATTCTCCTAAATGCCTTAAATTCAAGATACGTCAGCTGTTCTGCTAACTCATCTGGCTCTAAATGATTGAAGACAAGAGACACTTTCCGCGAATGTTTTCGGGATGGCTGACGAACAGACATGTTCCTCATCCAGTCGTAAGAGGGTCTGAAAAGAAAAATTGAAAATTATCAACACAGACATTTAGTATAGTGTGGAAGCCTGTTTATCCAGACAGTAGTGTTCTTCAAGGAATAGCATTGAACTACATACGAATCACTTAGTAAACTCACCAGACTTACCTCCCCTGCCTGACTCAAACACTATATCAAACAAAAAGTAACTTACACAGAAATCAATAAAGATGCAGTATCTGTGTATTGTTATAAAGGAAATGTTGAATACTGACCGACCACAAGTTCAATCCAATCAAATATGCAGGCAAACAATAAATAACAATGCTATACACTCACATGATTAAATGTTATCAAACCTTGTCTGTTTATTTAACAAAAATAAGCTCTTAAAAACATATGTAAACTCTCTCTCTCTCTCATATCGAGCATTACCTTCCACAAAAATACTACTTGATCCTTTGGTTAAGGTTGACGATCTACTTAACAAACATCTGGTAGTCACCATAATAGTGTCCCGTTGCATTGTCAGTTTGTGAAACATAATGTCCAGTTTCAGAAACAAATTTCTAGTTAAATTGAACATTTTATTTGGTATTTATTCCGTTCCTCATAGAAACTGTCCTTGAGCATGGTTTACAAGTAGTTACCATCCAGTGATCAATGAACAGAACGGAAATCAAATACACTATTATATAGAAAAAAATACAAAAAGACTTCCAGCGCTTTCTGGATCAGATTATACAAGGAACAAAATTTTCAAATAAACTTACAGAATTCAGAATATCAAATGGTCACTACATCCTCTTTATGTTCCTGAAGTAACAACTGTCAATAATTGAAACAAAACCATAATCTCTACCAAATACATCCACCGTCAAGGTAAATGGAATCTGTTCAAAACCAACAATATTTACCTAATACACAGTTTAGTGATATACTTTGACATTCATAATGGCTTCAAATCAGAAAATATCCCACTAATCGTTAAATAGAAATAGAACTAATGAAATAGAACACAAACCTGTAAAACAACACAATTCTAATCAAGGGTAATGTCACTCATGTCAGAAACTGCAGATCAGTTTGATTTATAAATGTTATTACTCACACTTTGGACAAATCAATGAGTTCCTTGAGCTGAACATTGCCTTCTGATTGGAGGAGACATCCAAGCTGTTCAACAGCTTTGACCAATCGTGCGTCTAGATCAAAATGAACAGGGAAGTGCCGGATCCAATATCTGCAATCAACACAAATACATCCACCGTAGTTATATAGCGCAGTCAAACCTGAATAATGATCAAAACTAAAAAGGAGATTATCTCCCTTGAATTTCCAAGCGTCATATCTAAAATACTTGTTCATTGCAATGTTGTTTTTTCTTCAAAATGTTAAGTTAAAATATACATGGATTAGAAATAGCCACACTTTGAACTAAAAATGGTGTTTTGATTTTTTTGTGTCCTCTGCTAAATTTAAATAAATAAGAAATAATTGAATTGGTTGAAATAGAAGCAGAAGACTATCATGTCTCACACAGAATATAATCTGACTGTGTGCACTTCCTTATTGGAACTATCAGAAGGTAGTATGGAGATCTAAACATAGCTCACCTATCTTGAGAAGGGTACACTCTTAAACTCCATTTGTCAGAGAAGACTACTATTGATGGTCATTTTTATTACGTTTGTGGCAATCTCAATCAAACAGTTTGGACTGATGGTATCAGGTGAAAAATGTATTATTTTTCAACAGATTGTACTGCCAGTATATGAATGAAAAAAGACAAATATCACTATCTCTATGAACTGCAATTTACACACCAGACAGAAATGACTTCCAAATGGTAAGTCTGTTATAATGAATATGTCCAAATACCACCATGCCATTGCTTAATTTGGGTTTCTGAGGAATCTTAACTTGTCTGACAAGGAAAATGAGAAACGCCCACAGATCAAACAACATACCAGGTTGGACACAGTATCACCACAGCCTGAAACATCTATGCCCCAACAACAAACCTGCAGGTGAGGTGAGGTGAAATTGGGTTTAACGTCATGCTTGAGAATATTTCGCTCATATGACGACGTGAATGCGTGTATATGTGTATGTGCGGCTGCTTGTACTAGCCCAGACTGAAGCTGGTTTTATAGTGCTAGCCCACTGAGATACCATGCCGCAGTGAAGCATGAATACCCCACTCAGACACATTATACTGACTCCGAGCCAACCAGTCCTTGTTGTACCCATTAATGCCGAGCGCCAGGCAGGGACCAACAAGTACCATATTTTAACGTCTTTTGGTACGACGCGGTCGGGGATCGAACCCGCGACCTTCCGCTCTCCAGGCAGACGCTCTAACCACTACACCACGGAAGTGGTCTCAAACCTGCAGGTTTCAGGTGAACATAAAATGTCATTCATGTTTATTCTGTTGGTTGGGATATCCAAGCGTACTGACTTTTACCTTGTATTGGAAACTGAAGGACACTGACCTCCACCTTGTATTGCTGTGTGGAGAAGCTGAGGGATAGTGACCTTCACCTTTTTTTGCTGCATGGAACACTGATAGATACTGACCTTCACCTTCTCGGCAATGCTGAAGGAAACTGAGCTTCACCTTGTATTGCTGCTTTGGGCACAGGAGAATACTGACCTTCACCTTGTATTGCTGCTTTGGGCACAGGAGAATACTGACCTTCACCTTGTATTGCTGCTTTGGGCACAGGAGAATACTGACCTTCACCTTGTATTGCTGCTTTGGGCACAGGAGAATACTGACCTTCACCTTGTATTGCTGCTTTGGGCACAGGACAATACTGACTTCACCTGACCTGCTGCACTATTTTGCTGCTTGTATTGCTGCTTTGGGCACAGGAGAATACTGACCTTCACCTTGTATTGCTGCTTTGGGCACAGGAGAATACTGACCTTCACTATGTATTGCTGCTTTTGGCACTAGTGGATACTGAACTTCACCTTGTATTGCTGTGTGGGGCTTTAACCTAATGGATAATGATCGACAAAGTGTAAGTTTACCTGACAGCCTGACATATTTTGGCCTTGTATTGCTGTATGGGACACTGTTGGACTGTGGGAAGGTGGGGACAGGCTGCCACGTCACACGAGATCGTTTCATCGCAACCCTGGTAACTGATACAGCATTAAGGATATTTGCCAACAGTATGGACAACCATAATCAAACACACAGACCTTCATTTCAAATGTTTCAAGAAAGAATAACATGATTCTGGTTTAGGTAAGAAAAATGAACTGACAACAATGTATTTAGATACAGGCAAGAAGGTTCTGAAGCTCACCTGACCTGAACATCAGTCCTATCATTTAAGTATTTAATGAAAATAATGTTAAAATGATTCAAGGAATTTGAAAAAATACTTTTTTTATGAAAGTTGTTTATGCTAATATTACTTTAAATGCCAACCAAATAACATCCCAGAAAAAACTGTTGTCACCAACACAATAAAGTCACTCTGAACACATCTTGGACATATCAGAACCCTTTTATGGTGGTTCACCATAATAATGTTTCTAGTGTTGTGAGTAAACTAGAGCAGTAAATGTCTCACACCTACCGGGTATATCACTCTGGACTTTCCTTCAACATTAACACGTTGACTGCCTATCATGAGTATACTCGTAGTATCAATTCAATTCTGGCGAATGCCATGTGCCACTCACGGGTAGGTATCTCAATTCTGGCGAGTGGCAAAATGGTATTTTGAAACAAGTTTTGAAACTAAATAGGCACAAGAAACAAACGTCTCCTAGTGTTCTTTGTTACCGCCAGGAAACGATTGCTTCTTGTGCCTGTTTTGCCAACATGTGAAACCTGTTTCAAAATATCATTGATTCAGCTACGAGATAACTTGTAGTGGCAAACTGGGCCAGACATTGATACTACGAGTATACTCGGGTGGCAGTCAGCATGTTAAGTCAACATGTCGTAATACATGATGTCATCACTTCAATATTCATCAAAAAGCTTCAAACCCAGCTCATTATTAATTACAGTTTCAATACGGTCAAAGAAGGAATCACACGATTATATGAAGGCACAAGTCAAGACCAACATGCCTTCATATACTCATGTGATTCCTTCTTTGACAAGGACATTTGACAAATTATCTTGCATTTCAAGAGTTCGCTAGTTAACACTAGATCACATCAATGCTGGGCTATGTTTTCTATTCAAAGAAAAAATAATTCAAAATACACAAAAAAGAGCAACATATGAAACAACTAAATTTGTATCTATCTACACATTGTATGACAAGGCTGTGCAAGAGAATGAAATTGTATTTTCAAATATGGGTTCCATCAAGGCCATGCTTTTTCATTTAATTTGAGTTTATAACTCTTAGGAATTCTGTGTCCATCTTACAAAAACAAATAGATTTGGATCACAATGGTAAAGTTCAGTTTTATAAGTTCGGTGAACATAAGAGCATATATTAAAACAATGAAAGATACAACAGTTAATTGCAAACACAGTCTAACACACAGTCATATCAACTTAACAGTGTCTGTAACTATCAAAGATTTTGTCCATTTCAGATTTCAACAAAACTGTCCCTTCTTTACCAAATGTAAGTATGTAAGTGTGTTGATTCTCACAGAAATGTGTGAGAGCTGACACAGTTGCACTAATTATGTAAACATTATTTTTTCTGTTCAAAATGTGTCAGTGGTGAAACTGGCAACAGCTGCCAGAAGCTGATTGATTGACAAACAAATATTACATTCACCATCAAATCCAAACCCCAAATCAATACATGGTAAATTATCAACACAAAGAGTCATTCTCAGAAATACAATTGATTAAATATTTCCTGAATTTATTTATACAACAGAATATGAGATAAATGTTCTTATCAACCCGGAAGTTGGGTTCCATTGTTCAAAACATTGTGATGGACACAATGTTATCAACCACAGTCCCCTTTCACAAACTGATCTAAGGCTAAGACCTTTTAAACTCTACCTAAAAACCCACATACACTTAACTTAGCCTTAGCGCTAAGATTGTTTTGTAAAAATGGACCTAAGACCTCACTACCCAAAGAAATTTTAGCGCTAAGTGAGTGAGTATGGTTTTATGCTGCTTTTAGCAATATTCCAGCAATATCACGGCATGGGACACCAGAAATGGGCTTTAGCGCTAAGACAGTAACATATGTCTATATCAAAGTATGGAAGGTAAGACTGTCAGGGTGCTAAGATCACTCTGTGAGTGCAAACTTGGTAATGATGCTCCAGAGTTAAACACAGCCATGGACACAATGCTATCAGCCTATTTCACAATGAGATATAGATTATTGGATTAGTTTGAATGTCTTAATGATTTAACTGAACACAGTTTGAAAGACATTGGATTTGACTAAAGTTACGCATGCTTTCATTTCTACAGGTGAAACATTTACAAAAAGACAACAATCTCACAAGATGCCACAGTTGACAGTGTTTACATGTCGACAGTGCTGTTTCAGAGACATCAAAACAATAGATCATTACACATGATGTCAACTGTGGCCGACGAGTGATATTTTACATGACGTCAGCAATGACAGGCTAGTGTAACTTCACATGATGTCAACTGTGGCCGACGAGTGATATTTACATGACGTCAACAATGACAGGCTAGTGTAACTTCACATGATGTCTACTGTGGCCGACTAGTGATATTTACATGACAGGCTAGTGTAACTTCACATGATGTCAACTGTGGCCAACGAGTGATATTCACATGACAGGCTAGTGTAACTTCACATGATGTCAACTGTGGCCGACTAGTGATAACTTCACATGATGTCAACTGTACAACAGTGATATTTACATGACAGGCTAGTGTAACTTCACATGATGTCTACTGTGGCCGACTAGTGATATTTACATAACAGGCTAGTGTAACTTCACATGATGTCAACTGTGGCCGACTAGTGATATTTATATGACGTCAACAATGACAGGCTAGTGTAATTTCACATGATGTCAACTGTGGCCGACTAGTGATATTTACATGACATCCACAATGACAGGCTAGTGTAACTTCACATGATGTCAACTGTGGACGACGAGTGATATTTACATGACGTCAGCAATGACAGGCTAGTGTAATTTCTCTTATGAACCAAAAAATAACAAACAAGTTATCTACCACAGTACCAAGATATTACTGCACATGGATTGATACAAATTACTACGTCATCAACATGATGTAATGTTGAAGTGATGTAAGTTTGAGTTTCATAATTCACTGAATTGATTCACATATATTCACGGAATTGATTCACATATATTCACTGAATTGATTCACATATATTCACTGCATTATTACAGATCTGACGAAAGTGGTGGTTTTTAAAGTTGACACAGAAAATTTATGAACGCGTGTGACTTAGTGCATCTGGTGCACATCTGGCCTGTTGAGTAAACTGCACAACTCTTGCAGATTTGCCTCATTATAATGCACACTATGTAAAAATCAAACAATATGTAATAATTCTACATCTTGCATCTTCACCTCATTATAATGCATCTCTCTCTTAAACCTAATTACAAACAGCCTTCAATATTCACACCATTCTGCTAAGACAGCGACTACTAATTGGTGCTAAGGGCATGTAACATACAGATAATGTTGGCTTGCAGCATTTGGGGCTATAAGTCGGAAAACTAAAATTTTGCCACAAAATCTGACAGTAAACATAAACAAAGTAAACATAAACAAATAGGACAAGCTACTAATCGGAGAACAAGTGACAAAAAGGTCTACACTAGTCGTTCTGGACCTGTTTTACAAAAAAGAAAGATAGAGAAGAATTTCTAAGGTTGACCAAGACTTCTGTGGTTTCACACACGATCAAATAACACACGAATATTGACCTTTATGGCTGAAAATCGACCTTGACCTTTGTGCACAAACTGACATCCAACCTTAGACCTGTTTTTCACATCAACTTTGATAAACTTTATCCCTTCTTGTCATTGTAACTATCAGGGCTCGATTTAGGAGTTGTTAACCTACTTGCACCAGGTGCAACCTAAGATAAAAACCTAGATGCACCAGCCAAATTCCAAATGCACTGCTTTCATTGCAATGTGTAGTGAAAGAAAATTAATATGCCATTGAATTATTTAAAAGTTGAGAAGAAAAATGAGCTGAAATCATTATGCCTGTAATGTTAGATTTATTGTTAATATATTTCTCCAAAATTGACTTGCACCTGGTGCAAGTTAGACAAATAACTAGGATGCACTTTGTAATATGGGTTGCACCAGTGCAAGTAACAAAGGCACCAGAGCAAGTAACAAAGCACTAAATCGATCCCTGACTATTATTATCAATGTATGGCTTGCTGTCGTCAGGATATGGCTGAAATACTGCCAGTGTGACATAAAAAGTTTACCTCACTTATATAACTATCTAGAATAAAAACGTTAGCTATATGTATAGACGAAATGAGTCAGTGAGGCAGCTCAATTGTTAACCAGTCAGGTGAGTTCAAATTGCACTACAAAACTGAATACATAAATGCTAATAACATCTGTGCTGGTGCACAAGCAGTTTCTCAATCTGACAAGAATTGATTCTACTAAGAATTAATTTTAAATGCCTATTTATATAACCAAGTATAGCTAAACCTTCATCATAGAAGACTATCTGAGAAGATGTTCATCATGAGGACACACCATTTCTGTAATAAAACATTGAACAATGTCAAATATTACTGTAATGGCCTACTTATCAAAAGGTTTTCCAAGAATCAAAATGGCAAATCTTCTTTGAATGACTTCTTTGAATTAATTTGCAGTACTATGAAGGATACAGATCTATGAAAGCCTGAGCAAGATCTTCAGACTTCATGAACCATTGGTGCATGAGGTAGAAGACCCGAGCGTACTCCTCCTGCCGCTCGCACGGGCCCGCCTCACCTGCAACACAAGACACACTTGTTATTGGAGACACTTCACATGTCACACTGACATGTACATCCATTTCAGTTGGTAAATGATAGACACAGTAATATTCCAACTACATGATTGACAATAGTCTAAATAATCAGATCCAGTAAGTGAGTGAGTGGGGTGGGGTGGGGTGGGGTGGAGTGGAGTGGAGTGGAGTGGAGTGGAGTGGAGTGGAGTGGAGTGGAGTGGAGTGGAGTGGAGTGGAGTGGAGTGGAGTGGAGTGGAGTTTTATGCCGCATTTAGCAATATTCCAGCTATATCAAGGTGGGGGACACCAGAAATGGGCTTCACACGTTGTGGGGAATTGAACCCTGGCCTTCAGCGTGACGAGCGAACGCTTTAACCACTAGGCTGCCCCACCACCCATCAGATCCAGACAATCCAGTGATTGACATCATCACATCAACCAAGACACTGAACGTGACCACCCGATCCACTATTTCAAGTCATCCCTTAGAAGCAGGATATGATGCTGGGTACTTTTATTCTTACAGACTTTCCACACTGTGTAAGAGTGTGGGTTCCATCAGACCTGCAACAATCCTTGTATTAGTCATTTACCTATGGTGGAACACATAGGTATGGGTACAGCACTGACAAAAATTACTGTCATTATCAGGTCAAAACATGGGCTTTAAGCCTTATCATTGGATCACTACATATCAGCCACCAGGAAGCGTGAGAGTTTGGAGTGTTGGGCGGTGGGGTAGCCTTGTGGATAAAGTGTTTGCTCGTTACGCCTAAGACCCGGGTTCGATTCCCGACATGGGTACAATGTGTGAAGTCCATTTCTGGTGTCCCCTGCCATCATATTGCTGGAATATTGCTAAAAGTGGCGTAAAACCATACTGACTGACTGACTGGAGTGTTACATCACTTCTAAAAGTGTTTCAGGCACACTGCTGCCTGTTGGAGCAAATCACTATCACTTGGTGCAAAGTTTATTGTAGAGAAGCCATGGTTCATAAACAAACACCAACACTTGCCACCCAACCCCCTTGGATACAACCTCTTGCCAACAACCTTCACAGACAACACCCAGTGCAACCCTGGGTGTAACCCATGCTCTTGGACAACACTCCTTGCCAATGAACCTTTCGCAGACAACACCCCTTGCTAACCCAACATTTTGGACAACACCCCTTGCCACCCACCTCCCTTCAGACAACATCCCTAGCACTCCACCCTCTAAGCCAACAACTCTTACCACCCCAGACTCCTCGGACAAAACACCTTCCCAAACCACCCTTTTCAACAACATAAAACCCATCATTATTTACATCCATCCTCAATGTCTGAGCCAGGTAATATTCACAAAGCTTGCCACAGATATCCATTCTACTTCCTCCTTTTGAACACTGATAATGATAGATTACTGCACTCCAGATACGAAACACGGAAGTCACACAGTGTAAGCTCATTGTAGCAATGCAGCATTGTGCACAGTTGATCGGGTACAGGAGTCTAGGACTGTGTTCCATGTAGCAATCTTAACACTGAAGTTATCATGACTACCATACTTTAACACAGGTTTAGGGACCATTCAGAATTTATGGCTTTTTGAGGGAGGGAGAGAGAGAGGAGGGGGGTTGGAAGGGTGGGGTGTCACTGATTTTGTACATGACATGCAGGGGGGTCACTTACATAATATGTATACATGATGTATACATGATGCATACACATTGTACATGCATCACCATATAAGTCATCATCTCCAGACCAGATTTGTTAAGATGATAGTATTGGGAATGAACAATGTGATATTACAGGAAAATGTATTGTGATCAATTCCCAACTTCAAAGATATGTATAGGGCAGAGAAAACTATGGCTTGTAATCACATTGCTTCTACATTAAGTACAGTTTTAATCAATTAAAGTTTTTTATATCCATAGTTTGTTATACACCATTCTATTCAATGTCTTATATTGACATGGGTTAAATTTTCAATCTACACAACACAGCTGTGATTTGGAAATTGAAACAAAACTGAAGTGTGTGCATCCTAATGCCGATCCAAGTTGGCATCGAACACTAACATCAAATTTCAACACATTTTGACCAATACATTTTGTAATTCCAGTGATTCTTGAAACAATTTGAGTACTATAATCATTTCAGTTCATCAAATAACTGCACTTCTTCTGGAGAAAAAAGGTGGTCCCTAAATTTGAAAACTGAACCAGCAGTTTTCAAGTTACTGGTTCAACAAAAATGTCTTTGGAAGGACGGACAGAATTCCTTGTCAGTTTATGATGATCTGCTCTCCTTTTATTTTTAATTATTCTGAATAACATACCTGATGACTGCTGGTGGCATAAATGATTTTTTATCATTTAGACAAAAATTAACACAAAACCAACATTTTAAGATCCGCATGTTTTGTATCATCCTTCCTGGAACCCATCAGATAAAACCTTGGTATATAACTTGAAGAAACTGTCAATTTGCGAAGGTTTCAGATCAGTTTATTTTTTACATACATGGATAGATTAGTTTGGTTTGGTTGTTGTTTAACGCTGCACTCAGCAATATTCTAACTAAATGATGGCAGTCTGTAAATAATCGAGTTTGGTCCAGTCAATCCAGTGATCAACATCATGAGCATCGATCTGAGCAATTGAGATACGATGACATGTATCAACCAAGTCAGCGAGCCGGACCACCCGATCTTGTAAGTCGTCTCTGATGAAAAGCATGGGTTGATGAAGACCAGTTCTAACCTGGATCTTCACTGGTTACATTGATGGAAATGAAAAAGGGAACATATGAAAGTGCAATTGTTCCTTTATTCAAAGCTATTTTTTTAGGAACACTTGTACTTCCATGTGTTCCCCTATTCATTTCCTTTAGTTTCTTTCATGCACTGCTCTTTTGATACTGTATAGATGAATACTGATATCATCATGGTAATGTCCTATGCTATTCGTCCACATGAAAATCAGCGACTTACAGAAGACTTCTACGCAGAGCTGGATGAGACGTTCCGGCGTTGCGGCGCGGATGTTGACGCCGGGTAGCACCGGTCTGTCCTCCTCCATCAGAGCCACGCCCACCAGGAGATCCACGCCCTGCATTGGCGGCGGCGACTCGGGGGGTCAGCAGCAGCGGTGGCGGCGGCAACTCCGCCACAGGGATCACTCACTCCAGGGACACACTGCAACAAAACAACAAACATCAACAATGCTGATAGTCAATAATACAGTGTTACAGAACAACAACTGTCTTACAACACTGATGGTTGTCACACAGATTCCTGAAACTTATCATATAGTGGTGATGTCACCCCAACATGAACAGAAAATATCCCACAGCACTGACCCCAAGTGAATTCAGTGCACTTGGGGTCTTCCTGGGCAGTGAGTGAGTGAGTGAGTGAGTGAGTGAGTGAGTGAGTGAGTGAGTGAGTGAGTGAGTGAGTGAGTGAGTGAGTGAGTGAGTGAGTGAGTGAGTGAGTGAGTGAGTGAGTGAGTGAGTGAGTGAGTGAGTGAGTGAGTGAGTGAGTGAGTGAGTGAGTGAGTGAGTGAGTGAGGTGTAACACTGCTTTCAACAGTATACCAGTCATATAAAGGCAGCTTAATTCGAGAGGAAAATCTGAAGTGGTCATCACTTAAAGGGGGCAGAGGGGCATTTGCTGAAGGACTGGGTTCTCGATTCCCCTCATGGGTACAATGTGTGAAGCCCATTTCTAGAGTGCCCTGCCGTGAACATTCCCAAAAGCAGCATAAAGTCCAACTCTGAATGCTGAATTTGTAACAGAATTTCAGGCATTTTCAGATCTGTTGATAGTGATGGGTTTGGATGGAAATTATTGACATTTTAACTTGATGTAGCGCCACCGGAAGCTGGGCAGTGATAGCTGTGTCTGTCCCAACACTCCTAAATGTAATCATCTCATTCCATGGATATATTTGTTGCAACAGCTGTCATCAATGTATCCAAATTGTGTATGGCCAGTTCAAGTTACAGTGTCCTTCTGTAAGTGCAGATAGGTGAAACTTTATGTCATGGATTTTATGACATTGAGGGGCGGTGGGGTAGCCTAGTGGTTGAAGCGCTGGCTCGTCACGCCGAAGACCTGGGTTCTCGATTCCCCACATGGGTACAATGTGTGAAGCCCATTTCTAGAGTGCCCTGCCGTGAACATTCCCAAAAGCAGCATAAAGTCCAACTCAATCACTCACTCATCACTTACAAGTAAGCTGTACTGCCCCTGTCGCCGACAAAGTGATCATTTCAATAACAACTTCCACATATATAAACTAATTCAGCAACAACAACTACACAATTTTTCTCACAAACTTTCCCAAGTCTAACCAACAATAGTTCAAGAAGGAAATGTTCAGCCTAAACAGATGCTGTTGTAGTTAATGACCCATAACACCATTGCACCTGGCAACGTTACTGACACACCCCTGGTTGCAACAAGAGGGGTCTATGTCTGTTGTAACAGGTGACTAACGGGATCAGGTCGTCAGGCTTGCTGACTTGGTTGATGCATGTCATTGCATCCAAATTGTGTAGATCAACGTTTATGCTTCAATCACAAGATTTGTCATCTCCAGACTTGATTATCTGGAGACCATCAAAAATATACCTGGAGCACTGATGTGTTTGGCAAACAAACAAACAAACAAAAACAACAAACAAACACCATTGACAAAGTATCTGCTCAACACAAGAACAAGGAAAGTTGACAGTTGCCATCAGGACCGACCACACGGAAGACATTGCCTTTTAGATCAATACAACCACAATACCGCTAGTGAAATTTATCAGGGCAGCACCTTTACCTCCATGTATGTGCACGTTTTTATCATGTCTCTAAACTGAGAGGAAAACATATCAACTATCACCTCCAGAGAAGGTGAGGTAACGTGGTATAACAACCAGTTAACTAGCTTCCATTCACCTCTTGCAGTGATTGGCCATTTACAATAAGCCCTGTTTGCACCTGTCTCAAGACACTGTCTAGTCTGTCGTACAGACCCTGAAGTAAATATATCCAAGAAAGCCCACCCAAGTCTAGAAAATGTGGCAAGTCTAGATTTCCTCAGCTTCAGGAAAATGTAGAAAGTCTCAGGGCTCCTTTTCATTATATTATATTTTTTTTTACTATGAACTTTTTTCAGTAAAATATGTTCATTTCAGAAACTAGTTGTTAGTCTAGACACTGTCCTCAACACTATGTTGTTTACTAACACTAGGAATTTATCTCAGATTCTAAACAACTCTTCATAGGCAGCTTGAAAAATAAATCATTATGTACAAAACTGCGAAAACTTTCTTGCATCCTTTAATTCAGCAGTATTTTAACATTGAATGTACACTTTGAATTTTCAAGGCAAACAATTTAAAATGACACATTGATGCCTTGTTATAACTTTAAGTACAACTGTTGGAAAATGTTATGGACATTCCTGGCAGATGAATATCAGTTGCTTCGCAGGTCTTGATCATCCCCTTAACACATTCAAGTTGGATCTGGAATAGCAACCCTAGTTCCTTATACTCTGTGGGACAAGTTGTGAGTTGGGTTTTACGCTGTTGTTAAATTATTTTGGTCTGCAACTTCAGCCGAAAGTAGTCTTAACTCTGTATCAAGCAAAATTCAGTTACTCTGGCCATATCACAGTTGGGATACAGACTTCACACATTATGACCCTTGGGGATTGAGGTGGGGAGTCGTATTGAGGGTGGAGTGTCGGTGAAATCAAACTTAGGGCATGACTTTGACTGAAGCGACTGAAGCGTCAAAGCATCAATATTTCAGGTAAACCCTCAGTCACTATTGTTTGATTTAAAAAGAGAATTGAACTATTTCTCTTAATAAATTCCATATCTTCATAATAGGAGGTAAAGAGAAAGGAAACTTTCAGTCGGCAACAAACAATAATGTGTTCAACCAACCAAATGAGAGTATGATGTCAGGTTTTACTCAATGCGTTAAAAAAAAAGAAAAAAGGAAGATACTAATTTCCTACTGACATCCCACAGAGTTTCATTTTCAGTTGTCATCAAACAAGACAACAATGACCAGTATCAAATCGATTCTGCTTCCCCCCCACCTGGCAAATATTATTACTGCTTTGAACAGCTATATTATATAGTGTGTGGGAGGAATGCCCATAGTGATGTGAAGCTTGGATGTTTACCACTTTGACCAAACTCATAAACACAGGTGTTGAGGGAGTGAGTATTGTTTTACACCATTTTTGGCAATATTCCAACAATATCACAGCGGGGTCATCAGCAATGGGCTTCACACACTGTATCCATGTAGGGAATCGAACCCGGGTCTTCAGAGTGACAAGCATCGCTTTAACCATATGGCTACCCCACAGGTATTGAGCTGACACATCCTTAACCATGATCAGGATTGACCAGAATTCCGAGCAATAATGACAGGTTTCTGGCATGCCTATGAGATGAAAATATGCACAGTGAATTGCAGCACCTCTGCCATGAAAACCCATCAGCATTGGTATCACCAAACAAGGGTCATACTTTGGTCAAAATATATGATATAGCTGGAACATTGTTGCTGATTGTAAACAAGAAACACACAAACTAGATCTAGATGTTATTACTACTGGGTCTTGGACTGTAGCATGTGTATTTGTCATTTCAAATTCCATCTGCCGGAAACTGTGTACCTTATGAGCACATCCTGGACATAAAAAAGTGAATTTCAAGACTGAAGTTCAAATTTTCAATAAATCAGGATATTTCTGTACCTCCTTATATGTTCTCCAACTTTCTGTCAGAGAAAACAGGATGTTGTTATGTTCCAACAACATTCCCAGGTGCCGAGATCCATGTTCAGTGATCACATATATGTATTCCAGCATGAAACATAACTTAACTGCCATATTTTGGTTAATTTGACCACATAGTTTAAAAGTTTTGCATTAACAAGGAGAGTACCCCATGCATATGTCATTTGAAACTGGTCCAGCAACTCATGTTAGTGATAAGTACTGACTAACAGGATTGGGTTGTCAGTGACTTGGTTATCATCGTGAGTTAGTGAGTTTAGTTTTATGCCACACCCAGCAATATTCTAGCTATATGTCGGTGGGCTGTAAATAATCGAGGCTGGATCAGAGTGAGTGAGTGAGTTAAGTTTTACGCCGCACTCAACAATATTCCAGCTATATGGCGGCGGTCTGTAAATAATAGAGTCTGGACCAGACAATCCAGTGATCAACAGCATGAGCATCGATCTGCTCAATTGGGAACCAATGACATGTGTCAACCAAGTCAGCGAGCCTGACCACCCGATCCCGTTAGTCGCCTCTTATGAGAAGCATAGTCGCCTTTTGTGGCAAGCATGGGTTGATGAAGACCTGTTCTACCCCGGATCTTCACGGGTCAGTCTGGATCAGACAATCTAGTGATCAACAGCATGAGCATCGATCTAAGCAATTGGGGAACGATGACCATGTCGGTGAGCCTGACCACCTGATCCTGTTAGTCACCTCTTACAACAAGCATGGGTTCCTAAAGATCAATTCTAACGGGTGGCATGTCATTGTGAACAAACTGCATAGATAAATGCTCACAGCATCAATCACACGATTGTTTGTATTATTTCAGATCATAAAGCTGTAATAGTGCTCAGTGCAGTGTTAAACAAGCAGGAGGCAACTGACTGACTGACTGACTGACTGAGTTTGGTTTTATGCCGCTTTTAGCAATATTCCAGCAATATCACAGCAGGGGACACAAGACATGGGCTTCACACATTGTACCCATGTGGGGAATCAAACCCAGGTCTTCGGCGTGACAAGCCAACGCTTTAACCACTAGGCTACCCCACTCCCCTCAATGTCATAAAATCCATGACATAAAGTTTCACCTATCTGCACTTACAGAAGGACACTGTAACTTGAACTGGCCATACACAATTTGGATACATTGATGACAGCTGTTGCAACAAATATATCCATGGAATGAGATGATTACATTTAGGAGCGTTGGGACAGACACAGCTATCACTGCTCAGCTTCCGGTGGCGCTACATCAAGTTAAAATGTCAATAATTTCCATCCAAACCCATCACTATCAACAGATGTCTTAAAATGCCCGAAATTCTGTTACAAATTCAGCATTTCAAAAATATATATGATTGATGAGGTAGATGGAATCCATTCA